GAAATTTGAGCAAGAAATATTTTTTTTCAATTATGAGCAAAATTAAGAAAGATTATTCATACCCAAAATCCATTATATAGAATAATTCAAAAAATACTCAGCAACAAACTATATTCCTGAGAAAATATAGCACTCAATAGAACTTCAGCTCATTATGTTATATTTATACTAGTATACTTTAAGGAATACACATTAGTTTCTGTCTATTCAAAATCAAACACTAACCATTTGGAAAGGCACAGACACAAAGCTGATGATTAATGTAGTAAAGTGACTGTGTTGGAAAACTTGGCAATCTGCCAAGAGGAAAATAGCTGGACTTTCCTATTTGTTGACCATGTCATCTTTAATGGTGACTGGACTTCGTGCATTACGACTATCAAGGAATAGCTTTTTAAAGGTGATTTCCTTTTTTTTTTACATCAGTACCACTAAACTGAAGAGAATGTGATTTTTTTTCACTTCTCATAGTTTGTGCTTGTTATTTATGTACACAGGTTGTTATGTAGTGTTTTGTTCCTTTTTGGTGTCTTTATTTAACTACATGTGCACCTACACAATTTTGATCTGCTTTCATGTTGTATATTTTTGCTTTCATGTCTTCTGACAAACTTTGGAAATACTTGTAGGATTCATCTTGTAACAGTCCTTGTTCTATTAATGCTAAAAAGAGACTAAACACTTCTTCCTCTATTTCTGCAGTGCCGGTTGTGAGGACTAAATATGAAAAAGATGCTTTGCTCTGCGACCCATTAATATGTCAGCCACTGACATAAAATATTTAACCTTTCCTGGAGAGCTGCTGATGAGAATCCTGCAGATGGTGGTGCTTCCTCTTATCATTTCCAGTCTGATTACAGGTTAGAGCCACACTTCAGATGCATTCAATTGATCAACAAAGAAACGGTTTGACCCACATTACATGTCGTAATAGCTTTTTGATAATAATCAGTACAGTAGATAAACATAATCAGTAGCCACAGTAGTAGCCGGTGCAAGAAGACCCTTAAGACAGTGGAGTGCAGACTGCGTGTAGAGCTGAGACTCTCAAACTGAGTCTTAGATGGTCTAAAATTGACACTGTAGAGAAGATAAATATATTTCATTGAAGTGTCAGCATTCATCCATCCCGCAATTTTATTGTCCTATGTGTAAGTGTTGACTTACATGTATAGAAAATGTAATTTTTAAACCCTTCAGTGGCTAAAACACTTTCAGCACTTTACATGAAGATTTCTATCATGCTGTGAAATAGCAGAATCTTTAACTCTTTATGTGACCAAAACTAGAAACCCAGAAACATTTGATGAGCTCGTGTTGTGGTATTTTTTAACATGAACTTTCCACCTTAGTTTTAGTTTTAAACACAGTAGTGACCTTGATTGGTCCATTGCATCATTAAAGATGTTTTATGTTGGGTATTTTTCTTGAACAGCTACCAAAATATTTCTGAGCTGCACAGGCCTGTCAAAAATATTTTTAATGAATTACCTATTTATATGTGGACTAATAAATAAATGATGACAATAGGAAATGTAGAAATTCAACAAGTTTACATTCATATTCCACGACCACCTTTTTTTTTTTTTTTATCAGGTATGTCATGACAGGAAAGCTTATGGGAGAATTGGGGGGAGGGCCTTCAGCTATTACATGGTCACCACACTTGTTACTACATTCACTGGCATCGCCTTGGCTGTTATCATCCAGCCAGGGAACTCATCCAGGAGCACTGCAGTGTCCTCTGGTGGTAAAGAGAAGGCTGTGCAGAGCGTGGATGCCTTTCTAGATCTAATCAGGTGTGTATGCTTATAACTCTATCATTCAGGGACCCCTATAGAGGACACAGTACCAGTGCCAGGCACCTCAGATGGGGTAAATACTTAAGGTCTGCTGGTCTTCTCTGTTGCCTTTGGCCTCATTCTGGGCAGTATGGAGAACCAGGGAAAGCCTCTTAGGGATTTCTTTGACTGCCTGAATAAAGCCATTATGCATCTGGTCAACATAGTCATCTGGTAAGTATGGGGCGCTAACATTTACTTGAACTGGGTGTATTGCTAGTTTTCTACTTCACTTGCAACTGTATGCATGTATTTAGTATTTTTTTAATGTTTTTTGTGGTGTTTTGTTTTTCCTAATGCTATTTTTGTCTTTCTTTATCTTTGTGACAAGGTTTTGGATATGTTATAAACAATGTATTGCATGGGTGTTTGTTGCTTGTTCAAAATTATTTTGGCAAAATATCCAGGACAGTCTGATGACGATTGTCTGAGAGTGTTTACACAAGTGAAAATCTATGTACCCAGCACCATCAGGCTACCTGTGAAGAACATAGTCAAATATAATGATTTACTTCCCTCTCTACATTGATACTCTTTCATTTCTCTTCTGCTGTGTCTCACTTCTTTATGTCACAAGTATTCCCCGGTGGGAATCGTCTTCCTGCTGGCAGGACAGATTGTGAAGATGACAGACACTGGAGAAATAGGTCGCGAAGTTGCCATGAATACTCTGACTGTGATCACTGGCCTTCTAATCCACAGCTTCTTCACCCTGCCCCTCATCTATTTTGTTGTCACACGAAAGAATCCCTTCAGATTTATGAGTGGTCTTCTCCAGCCTCTCGTCACTGCCTTTGGGACTTCATCAAGGTGAGCCACAGTCTTAATATTAAGCATAACAAATGGACAATGATTGGAACGTCATCGTCCCTCTTTTTTTTTTTTTACAGTTCTGCAACCTTACCTGTAACCCTCCACTGTATGGAGGAAAATCACAGCATGGACAAACAAGTGACTCGCGTCCAGGCCTACAGGTGCCACAGTGAACACGGACGGCGCAGCACTCTATGAAGCAGTCGCAGCTTTATTCATAGCCCAGGTTCATAATATGGACTTTAACCTGGGTCAAATTATTGTACTCAGGTAAGTTGAAATGGAAACTTTACCCCCGTAAAATTGGTCTGTTACTTAAGTTTTAGAAATGCATGTCTTAAGGAGATTAGGTCAAATAATTTCTGATTTAATAGAAAAAAATGGGCTTTCACATTCACCTTGTATGTTGCCCATTACAGGCTAAAGGAAAATTGGATCCCTGTGAGTACAGTGATGATTACACGTTGTTACACTATTTTTATGAACACGAGTCGAGATCCTCAACAACTTTACTCTGCCTTGGCATGAGTCACTACAGATGAAGAGTATGAAGAACGCAGACATTATGGAGGACCAGTTCCCGTAGGGTTGAGTGGGCTCCCTCTGATTGCTTGATCTTGCACATGTACATTTTAATGTATGGATCCACAAACATGAGTGGTGGACACTAAAGAGCACTGTTACTGGGTTCTGCCTGTTTTCTTACACCATAATGAGGATCACGATGCACAACCAACACTGTTTCCCCTCTTCAGTTTCATTGTCACAGTTGCGAGCACTGGTGCAGCAGGCATCCCACAGGCTGGCATGGTCTCCATGGTGATTGTGTTGTCATCAACTGGACTGTCCACTGAAGATATATCACTGCTTCGGATGGTTGATTGAGAATTCAACCAGTATCGTTTGCAGATCTTGAGAGAAAAGTGAAAAGTGATTTGATCAATCTTCACTTCTTCTGAAGGTGCCTTGAGGTTTCAGACTTTATGGTTAGGGTAAAGGTTGGAGATAAGACATGTATAGAGTTAGAGGATAGTGAGTACATTATGTGAATGAGGGTCCTAAGAAATAGAGTGTAGAAACTTCATATTTGGCCTTTATGTTTTGAATGGAAATAAATCCCCAGAAAATTTGTTCAGTGGATAACCTCAGCTTTTTATATATGTTTGTTAATAGGGATCGTTTGATTACTGCCACTAATGTCCTGGGTGATTGTATCGGTGTGGGTGTTGTCCAGCATCTGTCCAGACGTGAGCTACAGAGCTCCAGGCCTGCAGAAGAAAGCATCTGGCTCTGAGCTTCATCAGGCTTGACAGCATCCATTTGTAATAGCTAAGATTCATGTGATATGTTGTTGTTGAATGATGACAAGTAGTTGATACTCATTTAGCTTAGAATATGGACAGAAATCCCCGGGAATATGTTTCAGCTTGATGAGCTTTCTGCGGTGGTTCATTTAGGACTGAAGCATGAAATGGTGTTGATCTATGTATAGGATGTAGTACTCAAATTAGTATTAGTATTATACTTAATCTCAAACCATATTTTCCGTGCAGTTTTAATTTGTCTACAGGACTTTATGGAAACAGCTCATAAGTAAGGCCACTTGATATACTCAGCTTAAAAATCCAACACTGGATTTACATGAGGTTATGAAGAGGTCAAACCAATCTGTGTATTTTAGCAAACTGTTTCCTTCCTCGTAGTGTTGCAGATGTGCACTCTAACACCATCTGGTGGCAGGAGTGTCAGTGACCCAGTTACATATGAGTTAATCATATACATACATATAGAACTGTTACTTAATGGTACTGCATTTTATGGAAGTAAACACAGCTCAGCGTGTGCCCGGAACTGAAACATTATTGTGGAATGTGTTTCCTCCGCAAAGAGCTAGAGGAGATTATGGTTCATTAAAGAAAATGAAACAACATTAAAAGATCATTTCACCTTATTGACTCTTAAAGGGAATCAGAGATCTTCAGATAGCCAAGTAGTCAAACCAAGAGAAGCGATAATTAAAAGCTAGGCAAGCCTTGCTTGGAAATAAGATAAATAAAGACAAATCATTAACTTATTTATTACAATTGATCATTAAAACAATGTTGGTGTGTTCTTAAAAACCTAAAGCTATCTATTCGAAATTCAGCATCTGTCAACTGCACTGATCCATGGGAAAACAAATGTGTTTAGTCACAAGTCTGGACATATTGCAGCATTTCAGCGTTGTGCAAAGTAGCGTTATTAATAGAAAACTAGAAACACACCCGAAATGCATTTTTCTGCCAAGCAGCCAAAGGCGGGAGAAGAATAAGAAAACTGGCTGCTCCCACTGGGCGTTGAGTGCAATGCTACTCTGTGTTTACTGACATCGCCCAGAGCTCAGTGCAGCTGTGAGGAGAGAGGAAGAGAAAAAGAAGGGAGGGAGGAGGGGGCGTGAGCATCACAGCTAGCAAGCAAGAGAAAAGGAGGGGAATCCATGTGAGGGAGGGGTTTCATCAAGGGTGAGAGAGCTTAAAAGAGATGGTGAGAAAAAGCAAGAGAGAGAGGGGAGGACTGTGTGTGTGTACGTGTGAGAGAGAGAGGGGGGAAGATGCTGTTGCCAGGGAACAGCGGTGAAGTAGAAACGTCCATCTTTTCCAGCTCGTCAGAGGATAACAACACATTGAATCATGGATGCAAAATGGACTGAACGTGAGGAGAAAGAAAACAGCTGTTTGTGACTCCGAGCAGCCTCCAGGGAATCAAAGAGAAGGTAGGCAGGTGTGATTACATAACCATCAAAACACAGCTCCCACACGGGTGACATCATCACAGAAGGATTAGAGGCTGGGATGGGGGCATTAGTGTTGGTGGAGGGAGGAGGAGGGTAGAGGGGGGGATTCAGCAGAGGCAAGCAGAAGTGAATGGGAGGCAGAGAGATGGAGAGTGATCATCACGAGACGAGCTGAAAGTGCTGGGCAAGGATTATCTCTTCTCCAAAAAGCGGCACGGGATCTGACTGGCAGAGGAGACTGAAAAGATGAGAGCAGGATGGTGTTTGCTGTGTGACGACCCTGCCTCTCCTAACCGCTCTCCTCTCCTCAGGGGGACACGGTTTCTCTCTCAGCCTCCATTAGCAGCATCAGGAAACAGCCAGAGTTGTCCAGAAGCCCAGGTCCTGAGCACACAACCGTCCCACCTGCAGATGTAAACAGTGATGATCCTCGCTCTGATCAGGCAGCTCTGAAAAGGAGGAACAGGAACAGAAAAGGGAGCGTCTGAAAGCAAAACAGGGAAGCTTTCAAAACGGCGAAGAGGAAATCTTCCTAATTACAGTATGTGAGTACCCTGACTTTTACCTGAGCCATGGTTTTTCTGATAATAGCTGGATCAAGTCTTTTTCTTCTGGGGAGCCTGGACTGATGTGAGTCAAGTAGGGCATATTCTGACATCATTTTTAATGCTGCGCTTCATTCTGCTTCTATACGTGGTTCCATGTGTCAGTAAAGGAAAGGATGGCAGTCATGACAAAACAGCTTGTCTCCTTTTACAAAAACTTGAAGGCCCTTAAAATGTATTTTCTCAACCAGCTTCTTAATATCAATAATTTGATCCTATTCTTTTCTGTCAAAGTTAGAACAGTTTTTGAATGTCAAACTTACTTAAATCAATACCTAGATATATTTTTTAACTTTGATTGTTGCTTACTTAGTCATGAATTGCCATGTCAGGGGCTTTAAAGGCTGTTTACGTCACTGCCCTTGTGCCTGTAGATGTGCGTCAGACACGTTGAGGAAGGCTGTACTCATACTCATCATAATGTCTCTTGCCTTTTATCATCAATGGCTCTATTGATGATTATCTCCAAGCTGCAAACCATGTAAATTATTACGTAAGTGAGAGAAGGAAATATTGTATTCAAATGGAAGTTCTACTGCTCTACTCAAATTTTACTTACTGTATGTCAAAGGAGGAGCACTTAAGTAAGTATTTGTTACGTTGAGCATTTCCAGCAGCTTACTTTCAATCTGTGAGACAGAATTTTTGGTATTATATTTGATGGATAGAACGTAGTGAATAGCTCACAAGATAGTGTTTTGGAAATGAAGGCTGCTCTGCCATCTGGACACAAATCCCTACCAAACACGTGCTGCTGCAACATTACTTTGTGTACATCAATCAGCAGCGCGGTGTATGAGCAGCTGAGCCTCGGCAAGAGACATCTGCACAGACAACAAACCGCACGCACTGATCTGCTGTTTCTGTGTGAACTTTCTGCTTTACTCTCAGTCAGTCACACCCCTCTTTGATCCTTGAGTTAGGAGGGAAAACAATCAATCGGTCTCAAGGTGCTTTTTAAAAGATTATATGAGTGTGAGAACAAAGGAAGGCGACTCGAAGTGTGATTTAGCCTGACGGGTGTTTATGAAAGTGGCATTTAAGGACTTCCCCATCAAGACCACATGAAACACTGCAACTTTCTCATGGACACAATATGCTGTAAACACCTCACCACTCCCCTCCATCATTTAGAATCCAATCACAACACAGCAATCCTAGCAGCATGAAGCCTGGGGCCCATGTGCCTTATAGTCCACATTTGTTGTGTTTTTCCACATGGCCTCTGATGTGTCTCGCTATAGCACATCAGTGCCATCCCAGTGGACAAATGGACTGTGGTAATGTCTGCTGCTGCATGAACTCTGACTGGGACAGTGATGCAGGAAGGACACTCCTCCCCCATATGCACATTTCTGACACAAGGCTCGCACATGATGTCCACTCGTGCATTACTGATCCTTGTGTGACAGCCTGCAACGACCGACCAGAACATGAGACACTGTGAAGCTTTACGTGACATAATGAGAAAAGGACATGAAACCTTAGTTCGAGACTTCTGTCATTTCTGATTTGGTTATGTAAAATAGTTTCAGTTCAGATCACTATCTGCTTTATGACTGCATGTGTAATTTACTTGTATCCCCTAGAAAGGCTGTATGTGGTGTTTTATTTTTGTCTCCTGCCTCAGGGATGTAGAAGGAAACCCAGTGGGACTTAGTTTTGCCAAATTGTTATTTCTATGACTTCACTGTACAGTAATTACCCATTGCAAAATTGGACTTGGGATTTAGAAATTGTAGATTTTGTACTTTTTTGCCCAGTACACCCCAGCCATTGGATCTCACATTTGTCAGGTGTCATGCTAGTCAAAAAAGATGAAAGTTGAAGATTTGACTGTTAGATTCTTCATAATACCTACAGTATACTGTGCTGCTGCTTTATAGACCACCTAATTACAGTTCCTGTAAACCCACAAGTCAGCTTTTACTTGGCCTATTTCAGGGGTTATCCAGCAATGATCAAAAATGAAGCATGAGCGACTGAGATATCCTGATTTTTGTTGCTGTTGTGGGCCACCTCCAAAAATGCAAAATCCTACATTTCCCATAAAACAACTGAATAGTTTCTTTCATTAGACCCTCCCCGCCTGGTACACACCCACATGTTTCAAACTCCACACCTTTAGTTTGTAACGCTGGTTAAATTCAGAAAATCCTGATGAAATCATCAGGGTTGCACAAAGTGTGTAAAATGGGTGGAGTGTCCCTTTAAGACAATGTTATGCACTGTATGTTTTAACAGTGTTTCAACGACTGGTTGTCTACTGAACTGTAACATTATTTCATTATTTCAGTGAGCTGAAGCCTGTCCTCCCTGGCAGAGGATGGGTACAGCAGAGGCCACTTTACGCATGGACAGCATGGAGGTAAAGGACGAGTGGCAGGATGAAGACTTCCCCAGGTATTTCCTGAGTGTGCTTGTGTGAGAACGAGTGAGAGAGAGAGAGAGTCTGTGTTTGTGTGAGCACTGCAGTTTGTCCAATTTGCGCAACAAGCTTTGACAAACAAGCCACAGCAATGATGGAAAATCAGTCACACGTGTTTAATGCTGAAGGGCAGCAGGTGTGTTCTTTCCTTGATGTAGTCGTTATGTGTTACGTGAACAAAACAGCAGACGGCACAGAGAAGGGAAGAGAGGTCAAACACGTCACAGTGTCCAGCAGTGAAAAAATAGTCAGCCGCCTGCACTCGTTCACCGTCAAGAATCATTTCCACAGCAGAGGAGACATGTTTGTGAAAAATGAGCAGATGAAGCAGATTTTTCACAGACATCAAGTTTATTCACAACATATTTACCTACAATATGTCACATCGTAATTGCTTCTATTTTAACTTAATCTTAACTGTGTATTTCTATTTGTTTATGTATAATAATGAATATAGTTGCAGACTGTTTACACATGAGTCCTATAGAGAAACACTTAAGAATGCAAACCATGCCCCCCCCCCCCCCCCAATGTCTGTTGGTGCCGTCTTTAACTTACCTCTACAAAGCTACTGACAACATAATAACAGCAATTATCCCAACAGCTCCATCAGCAAGCCCATACTTGTGGGGTTTTAGGGTGTGTCAATGTCTGTGTATGCATTCTTGTGTTAATGTCTTTGTCTTTGTCTGTGTGTGGGTGTGTTCTTAAGAGTGCTATCTACTAAAATCTAGTCCCCTCGTCGCTCAGCGCTGAGAGTTCAGCTGCTTTATTATACTGTAATGTCAGAGGGGAGTGGTAATTACTGCAACTGTTTCCAAGGACACTCTGTAGTTAAATCACAACAGAGCTTCTCCAAAAACAAAGGACAACGAGCAAAATGCCAGGAATGACTGCTGATACTTTATTTTAGCGTCATTTATCATGTTAATGCTTATGATTAGACTTTTAAAGATACCAAAACAACCATTAACTTAAGAAGAAACCAATAGACCAAAAAATGGAACTATATATGTAATTTCATTTCTATGTCATCATTGTACTTGTACATGTTGTGTATTTATGTTTTCCTCTGCAGGCCACTACCAGAAGATGGAGATGTTGATTCTTCATGTGGCCTCACTGACAACAGGAACAGTAAGTGAAATAAATACACAGCGTTAAATTATAGTTTATAGGTTTTTTTTATGATATACTGTATGTAAACTTTCTTGCTCCACTGTTTTAGATCCCCCTACCTCTCTGAATGTGGGAGAGTCAGTAGCCCAGCGTAAACGTCGCACCTTGGTGGCCCCCGACATGAACTTGTCCCTGGATCAGAGCGAGGGGTCGGTTCTCTCTGATGACTTTCTGGAAACGCCCGATGACCTGGACATCAACGTAGACGACATTGAGACCCCAGATGAGACCGACTCACTGGAGTTCATTAACAATGGCAACGAGCTGGAGTGGGAAGGTCAGACAGAGGTCAAATCATATTGAAAAATTTGAGAAGGTTCACATAGTCAGTGCAGAGGAAGTCACAGGATGTGTGTTGGAATTAGTTCAATCGTAAAATACCTGCAATGTCCTTACTTTGAATCCTGATTCACATGTCATGTGATGTTGTCTTTTTTCTGTTCAGTCACAAACTGCTGAAGAGAAGATTTAACTTTTTATCTAAGTTTTTCACAACATTTAATATTTATCCACAATGTTTAATTGGTTTAAATGCCAATTACATCTGAAGGCAAGTGCAGAGGTACATTAAAAACTGAAACAGAAAATCTGACCAGCAACTTTTTTTGTGTCGTCTTGAATCCAGATGACACTCCGGTGGCCACCGCCAAACGTCTTCCAGGTGAAAGTGAGGAAGAGCGAGACGCATCAGGTCGTCTGTGGCGAACAGTGATCATCGGTGACCAGGAGCAACGGATTGACATGCAGGTCATCAGGCCGTACCTGAGGGTGGTCACACATGGAGGTCAGTCAGCAGCGTCCAGCACAGCGTCTGTAGAGACCAGCATTAATGGGACAGTTTTAGATCAGAGTTATTGATTATTCAGTGTTAAGAGTTTTAGTAGAGGAGAATAACATTGCACCAACCAAAGACAACTGTCCAACAAAAAGAGTGTGTGTGTGGATAGGAGTTGTATCGAGACACAAGGTTAGAGTACATCATTTATATATAGTTTGTAAATGTGTGTGTACTCTTTACTGCTTCACTGTACTTTTCAGATCTAATATTGGGCAGAGGATGTATGAGATTTAATAGTAAAGACGCCTACAGTATCTCAGAGCAGCCATTTAATACACCTGAACTGATTGAAACTCATTTTGGTTGCAGGTGAAAAAAGATTAAATCTGAATGAATCCAAGTGATGCACACTGAAGAAATCATAGCTGAAATGTGTGTGCATAGATATTTCCCATAAGTGTTTTCACCAGCACTTTCATAACCCCCTCAGCATAGAGAAGCCTCTGAAAGAGCATTAACACCATTAAGGGACATTAAGACTCATAAAGGCAAAAAAAGACAAAGTTAACTTGATTTATATGGCACATTTCATGCTCATTAAAAATACATTTTAGCCTGATGGCATTAAACCCCAACCACCCACTCAGAACACTCACAACACACACAGCTATTTAAGATACTAAAAGACAATACTTATTGACGTAATACAACAGAAAACAGCAGTAAAGCTGCCTCTAAACTAATTAGTCATAACTGAGCAATGAATTCATAAATACTGCATGCATTGGAAAATATTTTTCACAGATAGTTGTAGATCTCCGTAGTTTGAGTTGATAATATGCTTGGACGATATCAACACTGATTTTTAGTGAAATGCCAACATCATACGAGTGTTTGTCTCTGTCCTCTCTCAGGTTATTATGGCGAGGGTTTGAACGCCATCATCGTGTTTGCAGCCTGCTATCTTCCTGACAGCAGCTGTGAGGACTACACGTACATCATGGAGAACCTCTTCCTGTAATACCCATTCTTGTCTCTTAAGAGACTTTTTCACAGCAGCATGCTTTACTACGAGCCTGTTCATTTCAATTGTTCTTTTGACTTCTTTCTTTTTCCACTTTGTAATTCATCAAAGGAAATAATGTCTCTATTGAAGGTGCATGTAAAAGCATCGTCCTTTGTGTTGCTTTACAGTGTGAGTCTGATCTGAGTTTGTTTGTTCTGTTGTCAGGTACGTTGTGAGCAGCCTAGAACTTCTGGTGGCAGAGGATTACATGATTGTTTACCTGAACGGTGCAACTCCTCGCAGGAAGATGCCCGGCATCAGCTGGCTGAAAAGATGCTACCAGATGATTGACAGGAAGTAAGATAGACACAATCAGAACAACTCTAAGGGAAATGAGAATATCGTCAAGAATGTGAAATTGATGATGTTGTTAACTGACTGTCTGAATGCCTCGTGCAGACTGAGGAAGAACCTGAAGTGTCTCATCATCGCTCACCCAACGTGGTTCATCCGGACCGTTATAGCCATTTCAAGGCCTTTCATCAGGTGAGGATGTTTGCAATCCATCAGTCTCAAAAGCACGTCTCTTAGCAAATCTAACAAGGAAATAGAAGACAGAAGATAAACTGCCAGTCATGTCATAGTGATATGGTTTGTCGTACATTCAAGTGATAACAAAACACAAAAGTGTAGCCTGTACGCGATCGCAGAGCAAGAGCTGTGCTACACGGCCTGGCCCTGATGACACAGACACAGATTTCAGCGTCTGTAGTTGTCAGAAAGGATCATATGCGGCAGTAATCGCATGATGTTCATGTTTTTTGCAGTGTAAAGTTCATGGATAAAATCCGTTACGTTCACACCCTGGGGGAACTTGGCCAGATCATCCCCATGGAGCATGTGCAGATCCCTGAGTGTGTGCTGCAGTAAGTACTCTGAGCCACCAGGGGTCAGTGTTGAGACATGACTCGTGTCTGTCACACATACTGTATTGTTATGTTTTGCAATAACACCTTGAAAGGACCCTCAGTACAGTGAACAGTGTTTATGGATAATTCATTGGTGTTTATTTTCCCTTTGTAATTGTTTGCATTTATTTAAATATATAGTTATCATTGTTTATTTCAATGTAATGGTTCAGCTGAAACAGTAGATGATTCAACATGGTGGCAGTGACAAAAAAGTGTAACTCAGCATTCATTTGGCTTTTGTGGCAAACAGCAGGCGTCTGAAGCCTGACACCAAAAGAAACCATGACAGTCATATCCTACATAGCATACAGCGGAGCAGGATTTCTAGACAGTAAAAGCTCATGTCAGATTTCATATTGATTTTGAAGCAAACTGTAGGTGGCTGTACCTTGGAAATCAATAGCTATAGCTGAGTGAGACTCATAACCAGAGGCTTTGGGACGCGCTGCAGTGAATACATTAACACAGTAAACAAGGCCACATTATAACAGCAGAAATTATCTTTGGCTCATCTTCTGCACATGATTTGCATTTCCTCTTTCTACCACTGGTGATAAGTGTGTTGATGTAATGACACATCAGTCAGATTTCTATTCTCCGCTTTTAAAGGTATGATGACGAGAAGCTCAGAGCACAAAGGGAAAGGTGAGCGATAGATTTTCAGATTTTATGTTACAAAAAAGTTTTAATTCATTCTCTTTTTCCTGCAGGCAAGTAGTAGTATTAATATTTGCCTGTCTTACTTACAGACTTGAGCAAGACCAGCAGCAGAACAGCTCAACTGTGCCTAAAGAAAGGTGACCTCATTTTGCAGTACATACAGTCCAATGGCATTTGATTACATAAAACATTGTTCTTCAACACCTGAAATGGAAAATGTTCAGACATCTTTCTTTTATTTAAAACTGGTGATGGCTGCTAGAGGTCTGAAAACATTTAACTTTCACTTATGCACAGTGCAACTTCATCAGTTAAGATTAGCATCAATAATGTGATGTAACTAGCTAAATATCAAATCAGTTACATAACTTGTCTTTAAATTGAGTGTGAGTACTTTCTACAGCCACATAGATAAACTTTGGAAACAGAAAACACAACCTAATATAGGCTAGATGACCAAGAAAAATATTTACTTAAGACTTAAATCTAATCTTTCACTTCCAGGCCAAAGTCAATGATCGCAGAGGTTGGCTGTGACATCTGACATTAAGGTAAGGGTTCTCATTCACTTAAGTGCCTCTTCATCAGCTTCATCCAGGCTGGTTTGTAATGTCAGCCCACTGTAACTAATCTCTGGCATACAGAGAAATGTTCTCTTGTGCGCACACACAAGTTTATGTGCGCAAAAGGGACGCGTTACAGTAAATCACCGAAATGCTGGAGGATGGCCTGTCTGGAGTGTTGGGTCAATGTCCAAAGGTCCAAAGGCTCGGTTCTCACTTAAGGGGCACCAAGATCCAATTTACAGTAAAACACAGAGTCAGCCAGAAAGAAAAAGGGGATGACTCAGATTTCAAAACTCAAATATTCATATGTAGAGACGTAGAGAATATACAGTGAAAAATCAAATCAAATCTGTAGCTTTAGAGTTTCAGTCCAACTCAAAGTGCATCTCTTTCCATGGTTAGTAAATTGGAGTGCACAGCTTATTCTTCAGTTACAATTAATTATGTTTATATCTGATGATGCAAATTACATCAAAATGTTAGTCCTTGCACATAGATAAAAAGTAATTAAGAAGAAGAAACAACCATGTGCTTCCTCCTGGTCTCTAAACTGAGAGCACTAGAAAAATGTATTGCTGCATGATTACAATAAATCATCCAAACAAGTCCAGCTCATTTTCTCTTTTGCCATGTCTGTCATGTTTCAGTTCTTTAAATTCACACTGCATGAACGTCCAAGAAATGTTAACTGATCCTCCAACATCATATTCCCTCCATACCCCATGTTACATAAAGCACAGCTGCTCATCTCTTTAAGCCTGTCTACTCAAAACCAATCGATTCTATTTTTAATGGACTGTACCACAGAGGTCTGGCAAATTGATCCGCGCCGCACAGCATGTTCTGAAATCGGGGGTAAAGTACCTGCTGCAGCAGGTCTGGGTGGGTTAGGTTGTGCGGGGTGGGTTATTTTAGAAACTCCCACCCCTCTGCGCTGTCCTGTGCTGCTGACCGTTCCTATCAGTCTCCATATATCAAAGGAGCTATCAGCCAGAGGACTGGCTGACATCCCAGGAATGGACACAGGCAACATCTCCTAACCAAATGCCAGCAGAGGAAGCAGGAGCAAAATAAATAGGCAAACCTGATATGTGTCATGTTGGATTTAGTTTAGATTTAGTGCATGCTGACTGACTCACCCCCAAACCAAAGGATTATATAAGAAATGTTACATTTGTAGAGATGCACAAACATCCATTGATAAAGGATAAAGGTGACAGAGAAAGAAAGAGAGTTAAACTTTTTGTATTTGCATTACAGAGTTTTACATGGAAGAACCAATGGGCAACATTCATTCATTACAACGGGAGCCATCACCACTCGCTTGTTGCACAGAATTAAATCTCCTGACTGGATCCATTAGCTGCAAGACAATCATTTAAAAAAAAACATTGTTTTCAGCTGCCTGCTTCTAACTAAAAGTTCATTTACACCAAAGCATTACAGGTTATAGTTAAATCAAACGTTTCTGCTCCCTGCATGTCAAGTAGAGCTTTGCCTACAGCATGACCAACTATATAAATGAAAATTTATGGACTTGGATGAACTTTACATCTTCCTGACAGAGCTGGGAACGTCATGTAAATACTATATATATTTTTGAGAAAGGCATTTGCACAGATATTTGGGTTTTGATATGAATGGCATGGGTATGGTTTAGTTTAAGGCCGTTTACTGAAAAATAATGTGCAATGATATTGTTCTTAGACCTACAGTAGATGTTACTGATGCAAACGTGTGTTACAGTTTTCAAGTTTTCCAGAGTTTGATAATCAGGTGGCATGCTTGTTTATATCTTTCCTGTTTCTGTTACATGTTTTTGTCAGTTTTTAAGTAATTTGCCATCATGTTTTAAAAAGGTACTTTTACAAAACGGGAAGCATACATTGTTACAAATGAAATGAAATATATTTAAAGAGAGAGTCAAATTAATTGCTATAAGTGTTATTTATGAAAATGTGCCATTTGCTGTTTGTAAAAAAAAAAGAAATAAATGAGTGAACTAAAGCAAGCTTTGTCATGCCATGATTAGTCGCCTCTTGCATCTAGGATAGCTTTGACCTCTGATATAAATGACTAGCGAGGACGGCCTGGCCCATGTACATTACAGCTTATTTGCTTCTGTTTTACTGCCTCTAGCTCCAGTTTGGTCCAGAATGTTTTTGACAGTTCATGATGAGTTATTAACGGGCATAATTCTGATTTATGAGCGTGCAAGCCAAGTCAGTTGATGTTCTTTGTGTCACCTGACAGTCCTGTGCTGCTCTTCATAGGGGTCATTTGGACTTAATACTTTTAAAGTGACCATTTATTTTTATATGCAAGGTCACTGTGATCACTAGGTATGAGGACAATATGTAACTCATAATAGCCTGTTATGTGACGGCTGTCTGTTAGCCACAAGGGAGATTTTGACTTATTTCTGCGCATTCCTTGCCATTTTTAAAATGTACTTTTAAGGTACTTTATCCAAAATCAATCAGTCTGACCAAATACTGATTAAGAAATCAGATTACTCTTCATGTATCTTGTGCAATGATAATACCAGCAGTTCTGCAATAACACTGAAATGGAAACGGGTCTGTCTGCTGAACATGAGGTTATAACATAAACAACAGGTTTACAACAGGTTAACACAACAGGCATGATTACAACGAGAATATTAATGAAATGTTATTGAATAAATAGTAAGAAATACACAATGAGAAGCTCGCTACGACTGAGTGAGGAAGCACCTAGCGTAGCTTAACATAAAGACTGGAGTCGAGGGAAGCATATAGCCTGGTCACCTTTACAGCTGACTGAGTAATGCGTTGTTTCATCTGTACACAAACGTGAACATTTTGTGATTATAAGGTAGTAGCATTACTCTAATTTGCGTTTTTTACATTATTTTTTGTGTACAGAAGAAATAACCAACTTAGATCGTGATAGTTAGTGAGCCTTTTGCAGAGAAAGGCTAGCTTTTTCCACTATTTCCATTCTTTATGCTAAGCTAAGCTAAGATAAACTAAGCTCCTGGCCTATATACTCAAGGTTCCCACACGTCCTGGAAAACCCGGAAAACAGTTCACCAGTTTTCCAGTTATTTAAAACACATGGAATATGAGAGAAGGGGTAAAATGTCCTGGAAAATATGGAAAACATTATTTCAACAATTTCTTATTCTTGGGCACAAAAGTGTTCATGCTGTCGGTCAAATGGTTGGCTAGTTTATGGACGACAATATTTTGAATCGGCTGCTATCAGTTTTGTTTGGCAAGGCTTTGAACGCACCACAAAATCACATCACATGCTTGGTTGGTCCATGTTGGATGATTTACAACTGAAGTGGAAAACCGAAACTTTGAAGAATGTAAGTCACATTATCCTTTAACTGTATGTAAGTCACTGTTGGCTGCTAACTGTGGCAGTTTTTATTAGGTTTATAGATTAACAAGTTCTTGCCAACTTGTTTTAAACTGTTGAATAGTAGGTTAGCATGTTTGGTTCATTTGCTGAAGTTGACGTGCTTCCTAGCCTGTTTTTCCTGTAGCTAAAGATTTAAGGTTTGTGATTCACCTCTGACTAGGAGCAAAGTTTTTAAATGTGTGTTGGGCATTGCTGACAGTTGGATAATAAAACATAGGAAGCCGGGGTCAAGACGATGAATGGGAGCCTAACTGCATTAGTCAAACACCGGCTAAATACACGCTAACGGCACTTTTTACTTTGCTAGCATCTTTGTTAGCGTCATTTCAAACCCAACGCTGCGTTCAGGCAAAACAGACCATAATATGACATGAAATGTTTAAATTTTGTAGCGGTGACTCACAGTGGGTGTGATGATTAACCTCGTTAAATACTTCACTTCCTGTTACTAGTAAAGGGGCGAAAGTGTGTCAAACTGATAAAACCTGGCGGCAGTAAATAATCTTAGCAAATTCAGCATTGAATTGTACATTTAGCTGTAACGTTCAAACTAGATTTGTCATTAGGAATATTGTGGGCTACTGTTTGTGTTATTGATATTCAGGAGAGGCTATTTAGTTATTTAGTTATTAAGTGTTCAGGCAGCAATGATTAATGTAAATCGTAAACAAAAAAGTGAGTTAGGTTAGAAGTAAAAAAAAAAGATGATAATAATGATACATTTTATTTACATAGCACTTGCCAAGTAAGGGCTATCATGTGAGAAAATTCTTGTGATTGATTTGTCATAATTTCATAATTAAGCCTGTAACATTTGATTTCATGGATAAGTATAGACTGCACTTTAGATCTTCCACAGAAAGGATCGTATTGGTTTATGGCGTGATTTCAGTCTGTCATGTTAGCTAGATCATCACTAAAAATGATAGTCTCATCTAAGTCTCTGTAAGTGTATATCCCAAATATGTTAAACAATTTTTTGAGCCTGGAAATGTAGATAATATGTCTCTGTCACAGTGGGTTAGCAGATAAACCTTAATAGACTGGATAGGGAATATTACTGTCAAACTCTAAATGTGCTGAAAAATATACATTTATTCATGTAAATACTGGTCAAGTAAAGGTTTGTCTTTCTTGTGGGTCTAAGAAGGAAAAAGTATGCGCACCACATGCTTCACATGGTGGACCACATGGTTTGGTGTCCTATGATATGTCAGAGCATATGTGGGACAGTTTTGTAATCCCATATTCTTTACCAGTGTATATCATTAACTGTTTACTAACATAAATCTACTGCAACACAGCAAGGCTGCCAACCACTAGGATATAAGAGAGGAAAAATATATTGTCATCACATGGTGTCAACCAGCATCACGTTTCCATTGAGATTGACTTGGTAGTGAAAGATAAAACCATTTGCTCCGATAGCAGGGACTCAAAGTTCACCTCCTTCACGCCTATAGTTACAGAGATAAGAGCGACTGTAGCAGAATTCATTCAAATACTGTAAAATAACATGAACAGAAGATTAGACTGCACACATGAGGAGGTATGTGACAAACTATATTGATAACCAGTTTAAGTTCAAAGAAAAAGACTTCTGCTATCAGACCTATAGCCATGACTCGAGACATCGGATCACATGGCTGGTGTCCATGTACTCCAGCTGGTTGCATCAGAAATATGCGTGACGCAGCAGACAGACACACAACAGCCAACTAAATATAGTTCTTCTGGTTTTCACCCACCCGTAGTTGTCTAAGCATGGAAAACTTCCCTCAAAAAACCCAAATAATGATGTTTTTCTTTGTGCTGTGATACAGATGTCTCAGTAACAGGATGTGACATATATACTTATATACAGTTAACAGCCCCAGCCTCCTCTCCATATAATGCCTTTTCTAGGACAAAAGCTTTCTTAGGGTGAATGGCATCTGCACATAAAAAACGTTTTATTAATATTTGGAGTTTTTGAAATCAAATTTATCTCAAATTAAGAATACATAAAGATTTTACAAGCTCTAAACTATCAGCCTCACCAGTCTGCAGCCTCTCACTGTCCGAGGCACCAAAAGTCTGTCTGGCTCTTGCTCTTTCCAAAGATAATTAATTTTGTGTTTCACAGCTTAGCCACATCACCATTTCTCTATTATCTTCTAAGAACTCTGTTGGGAGTGGGATTTGTCGTGCATTTGGTTGGCTAGTGTTCAGTGACTCCTGACAACAGGTGGAAAATTAGGGATCTACTTTCATGCAAATGTGAAGCTCCTGAGTCGCCCTCCTCTCATTGGTGCTGCAGGCTGTAAAGCGACAGCTTACTGGCTGCTCGAGAAAAGGCTGATTGGTTTGAGAAGCTGTGACGCTGCAGCTAAATCCTTTATATGCCTGGCAGGGAGATTGTCTATCAATGAAGTAGTAAAAGGGGGGGACATCTGTGGCAGAGGAGAAGGAAAGGTTTTTAGAGGAAGCCTTTGGTAGACTGTTTGCGTTGGCTGGGTTCCCTTCTTTTATTTACTGAATTCCAAAGGTGACCAATACACAAAAGAGCTGAAAATGAAATTCATCATTGGCATTGGAGGGTAAGTCTCATTTAGTTGATTTACCTACTCGTCTGTTGTTGAAGATTAGCAAAAAACCTAGAGTGTAACTCGTGTATGGTATAAAATTCATCCTAATTTCAGAGTGACCAACGGTGGGAAGACCACTTTGACAAATAGACTACTAAAGACATTACCTAACTGTTGTGTTGTGCATCAGGATGACTTCTTCAAGGTAAGATAAATTTAAGTAACCATTCTTTTGAGCTTTAAGTCACTGTATGTTCACTTTAAAGCTACACCACTACTGTTTTGTTGTATTAAGCTTGAGCTAATGAAAGTATTATTTTTGATATATTTCATTTGCTATGTAAAAATTGGCCTTGGACATTTTGTGCTCAGTAATAATCCGCCAGTCTGACCTGCAGATGTCCTGTCATCGCAGTAGCCTAGTAATACATGTGGCTGATTGTCTCCTGGACAGCCAATGAAAGGGCTAAGCGTCCCCACTTAAAGTGAGACTTAGTCCAATCATGTTGCAAATTTTGTTACCAACTTTTTGCATGACCATTAACCTCTGGCTTAAATACCTCTATAGCGAGGCAACAAGGATGTTAACTAGGGCCACATAATTGGAAAAAAATTTAAACCGCGATTTCCGAATCGCAAGCAGATTTTTTTATTTTTATTTATTTTTTTTATTTTTTATTTTTTTGGATGCAGTTATCGATATAGTTACATCTCTTGGAAAATCCTTCCACTTTCTCAAAGCGAAGCAGCAGCGAAGATTACTGCCCTCCTGTAAAGTTTTAAAATACATTAGTGTGTCCTAAGGTATTGCAACCGAAATTTCGTAAGCGCAATATTGGAAAAAACAATTCAACCGCACCAAAAAATGTCACCGTGTGCTACTTTTGGTGGAGACGAGTCCTTGACTTGTCCTGTCCAGGTGTGATCAGCTCCGACTGATTACTAGGTTGCAGCAATGTTTTATTGGTGACTGTTATTTCAGAAACCCGATCAAATAGAAGTCGGGGAGGACGGCTTTAGACAGTGGGATGGTAAGAATGGATTTCGCATAGGAAAACCATGCAGTAACGTACTTTTTCTTTCCTGCACATTTCTTTAGTTTGGTAACAAATCAATCCTAAACTTTGTGATAATTTGTCATCTATTCTGTGAATGCTACAGACATTCACTAACCGTGACTAATGTGTGTTAAAGCACATTGGTGAGGAGTGTTGGTTGCATGTGTGGTGAAACCCGCTTTTCTCTCTTCTCTCCTTGTTCTGTATCAGTGATCGCTGCCCTGGACATGGAGGCTATGATCAACACTGTGAAAGGCTGGCAGGAGAACCCAGTCAAGTTTGCCCGCTCACACGGTGTCAGCCTGTCACCTGAAGCCGAGGAATCCGACTCAGGGGAGAAAGGGATCCATTTTCTCATCATTGAGGGGTTCCTCATCTACAACTACAAGTGGGTTACGTGTATCATTCTCATTTTTCAACGCAAGTTCTAAAATTTAACCTACAGGCCTCTTGACCTCCAAAACTTTTCACTAATCTGAGCTCCTGTCTGCAGGCCCCTCATTGACATCTATGACAAATGTTTCTACATTTCCATTCCTTATGAGGAGTGCAAAAGGAGGAGAAGGTAACTAGCTCTTGGACTGACTTTGACTTATACCACAAAAGTGTTAGGCACTGTATTACAGGCTATAATATGACATGATTGATTATGTTTCCACAGCACAAGGACATACACAGTCCCTGACCCCCCTGACCTGTTCGATGGCCACGTCTGGCCCATGTACTTGAAACACAGGAAAGAGATGGAGAACAACTGCGACAGAATAGGTTTGTTAAGCTGATTCTTCACCTCAAGAACTAAATATCACTGTCTCCATTAATGCATCTCCATATCCAAATCCTTAATGTCAAAATAAAATCAAAATATCCCTTACAAAATTCACACTAATAGATTCAACTGCTAACTTCTGCCTATGAGTGACTCTCATTCATTTCTGATCGGTCTTTTTTCTGGACAGAGTATCTTGATGGAATGACATCAAAGGAAGCGATTTACAACAATGTGTTTGAAAGTGTTCAGAACTCTCTCCTGAACAACTTATAGGTAAGTGGAAAACTGAAATTAATTAGCTGTGACAGATCATAGTAGTAATCTGTCACAGCAGTAACTCTTTCATTCAGTGTGTATAACTTCTCTCCTTTCTCTCTCTCTCTCTCTCTCTCTGCAGCAGGTCGGGGACAACAGCAGATTTGTGTATAGACTTGTAAATATAATTTTTGAGTAAATGTGTAACACCAGCTCTGTACTTCTGGCCTGATTTGTAAATAGTTAATCATGTAACTTATTAAGAACTAATGGCAGAAGTGTTGTGTTTTGTATAATCCTGTGTAACTTTTTCTAAAAGATAAGCCACCTCTGGACTACCCAGTGTGTAACATCAGCGACGGATCTAAACTCTGATCTTGTTATACTGTATGTCAAAATGAAATGCCCATTGGGAGGATTTCTGTTTCGCAACTTAAAGAAATGGCTGAATCCACCTTATGGTTCCTGTTTTTCTTCCTAACTCACACTCACTCATGTTCTTCCCAGAGAGGTCCTGTTCACAATCACAAACCTCACGTTTTACAGCACAGACATTTATCTACAACTGGGGATGACTGATAACACCCTGAGGCCCTTGAATGAGCATCCTTATCACTAAGTTTAGATTTATAGCTGCAGTAAAAGCAAACTGTGATGAGAGGAAAAGATTTCTTCTGAAAGACAATAGATGAACTATTGCATTTTGCAGGAAGGAAAAAAAATCACAACTAGAAGTGAGTCAGTTTGACTGCCACTCAAATATGAGTTTAAACATTAGGATACACAAATATGAAATGACATCTGAGCATCTATAACTATGAAGAAAAAGACAATAAACAGCATTTTTTGGTATTGCGTATCAAGACGTCCCGAGGAAGTCAAGTGTGCTAATCACAGACCAAATTAATTAAGGGGGCTTTATTTATAATCAAGCACTTCACTGACTTGGATTTTTTTCATGCCACACCCTGCCCACAGACCACAACATTTTTCTCTCTTTAACACTACATCTATGACTTTGATAAGGATTATTGTTAGTTTTTGATATATATGTAATGGTAAAGGAATTATTGACCTAAAATTTTCCGCAGTTTTGCGTCTTCTACTGTTTAGAAGTACACATGCTAAATGCAGGCACCACAGCCTAACTCTGAGTTTAGTCATAAATCAGCTAAAAGAAACACAATGTGCACCGCTGAAGTACATAATGAAAATAATAGATTTCCTTAAACTATATTCCCTTTTCACTTCCCCAACACCCAGCCACAGGCAACACTGGTGGCATGCTCAAGGTCGGAGTCATGCTGACACCAAGGGCTTGAACCTTAGTTGTTTCGAAGAAGACTTAATTCACTTTTCCTGCTCTGCTTACAACACACCCATTAACATTAGATATACCCTTTTCCCCTGCTATTGCTTAATCAGTGGTGAGAGTGTTTGAGTCTCTAAAGTAAGTAGCTGTAAAGTAGTAACTTAAAATGTACTTGTCCCCTGTGACTGAAATACTATTATATATAAAAAGAGCTTCACCTATATACATATATATATATATATATATATAGGTGAAGCTCTTTTTAACTTCTTTATAAACAATTAAGTAGTTTAGTCAAGTGGTTTTCAACCAGGGGGTCGGGGGCCTCGAAAGATCAGATAAATCTGAAGGGTTGTTAGATGATTAATGGGAGAGAAGAAAAAACAACGTTCTGCTGCACAAATTTGTTTCATTTTTTGGACTTCTGTCTAATCTTTACATATTTTTGTTACTAAGGGACAGTTTTACCCACTTGTTTGTCAAACATATTTACACAAAACCAGCTGAGAGGTTGCGAGGGGATATGTCTCTCTGGTGGAAATGCTAAAAAATCAGATATCAAAAATGTTTATGTTCAAAAAAACATGTTGCATTTCATAGCTGATCGTTTTTACTCTGAAAAGTAAATATATCTGTCAGATAAAAACAGACATGGTGCAGAAGTATGGTACTTCCCTCTGAAATGTATCTAAAAATTGTGCCACAGTAGCCGAGCAAATGTATGTAGTCACTGAGCTTAATCAAGACACGGAGTGATGGGTTACCACCTCTCCAAAAGATCAAAAGTCCTTTAGTCGCCCACTCTGCTCTACACTCAACCAACACTATCCACACATAAATGAGGGAAACATAGAGCCATCATTTTTCACTTTTATTGATATTTCCAGATCAAAAACTGAAAAGTGATTTATGCAGTAACCTTGAAGGTTACATTTCCTGCCTGCAGCTGACAACACAGCATGACTGTTGCACCATAAAACAAATGACCTAGGTCGGACCGGCACTGATGACTAAGAAATCAAAGGATTTATATTCTGAGCACAAAGAATCAAGGGTATGCCGCCTATTGATAACTCTTAAGTGTCATATAACATTATCTGAATCTCTGCTTCTTCTGATCACAGAAAAGCTCACACTGTAAATTACTCTGAGACGAGACTGGCCAGCTCTGTCCCGGGACCTGGCAAAGCTACACAGGGTGTGTTCGGAGGGAGTTGGGGTCTTGTGATGCGTTTCTGGGAGTCTTGACATGCCAACATTTGGCCTGGAGCACAGGGTAGAGGGTCTGCCAGTTTATATTTAGGCTAAGTGCCTGGGGTGTCAGGGGAGTATATTTGACGGGTGCACACACCCACTCGACGCTCCACAGTCTGGTCTGAGTCAGGGGCCAGTCCCCACACGCCACCGCCGGGCACGTAAGGTGAGAACCTTTTGGGGTGGCATGTTCTCCCACGTCACCCGCCACCATGGCAACCCCCAAAACTAAAGCTGGGGTGTCCATATTTGGGTGGAGAGGCAGGGACACAGGAGACGGGGGGCATGTGAACAGTTGTGGTTATGCCACAGGAATATTTATGGCCACCTCACTGAGACACAACTATGTGAATAAGTAAAGTCATTCTTGTGCAACACTTGAAGTCCCCCAGTTGAACATTTATAAGCAGTAAATAAACATTTAATAAACCGTTTATAACAAACTATAATGTAGATGTTGCTGTTAGGACATTTGAAGTGTTTATTAGTGTTCCCCTTTGATTTGATATTGTTACACCAGTGTTTCACTGTAATCATTTATTATCTTTTCACAGCAGCCTTCACTCGTGAGTGTCCACAGGGGGCATTATAGTTTGCGATCACATTATAGTATGTTATAGACCATTTATTATATATTTATGTACTGTATGATAAATGGAAAGACTTGTGTTGCCCCTCTGTAAAACTGAACATTTTGGCCTTATGTGTCTCATTGCTTCAGTGTTAAAAGGTCAGGAGGAGGCTGATTAGGTAACTGGCACATGATTGGCTTGTAATGACCTAAAAACCCATAACAGAAGAATAAATTACATCTGGTGCTAATCTTTTCTTTTAAATTTCACCTCCACCCTCCTCATCCGAGGACGAATAAATGTATCCTTTATTACAAACTACTGTTTTAACAATGATCTTTTCCTCTCTAACGTCTAATCCTAAAGACAAAATTAAAATGGGTAAAAATTTAGAGCTTCAGTGGTAATGAAGAAACAGGGACAGCGTCCACCAAAATACACAGGGTCAATAAAGTTTGTCTATTCTAGCAGCATATGTCGCATAAGTACAGTCTGCATGTCCAGTCCAGCTTTAATATCACTTTCCTTTAGCCACACAGGGCAGTGCCAAAATATGTGACGTAACGATTCACAAAATGTGCACTATGGTGCTAATTCTGTTTACCAGTAGAAGTTCACAGCACTGACCGAGGAGCAGACACAATGTTTAACTAATATAAGAAGAGGCTAAATATCATATTTAACATGCATTAGGAAATTATAACAACGCTAAACAACGATAGCTACATTAAATCACTTTGTAGGACACGGCATTAATGAAAATGAACCTTAATTAAATCTAAATGAATTTGCCTGAATTAATCCCTAGATTAATCTGGCTCTGATGTTAATTGATTTTTGTGGTGCCCGCTAAGCAGATACAGTAAGTACAGTATATAATTTATATGTCCTATGATATATGTAATATACTTAGAGTGGCAAAAGTAAAATGACTCAGAATGGCCCATTTCAGAATATTACATTATTATTATTATTATTATTAATGTAGGTATCACTGTAATGTTGCAGCTTGGGAAGGTGGAACTGATTTTAACTACTTAACTGCTGGATAGTTTAACGTACTCAAGTAAGTACCTGAAAAGTGTTTTTAACACACTCTTGTCACAGAGCTTCAGGCCAGGACAATCTCTCATTCTTAGATTTGACAGTATTCATGTTAAAGTTTAAGTCAAGGGACGAATGAATCCTTTTAAGAAAGCTTCAGTCGATCACATATTTAGTGTTCTCACCACTAATTTGTCTCGTGTAGCTCAGTGAAAACGTGTAGATAGATACCGAGACATGTTGCTCAAAGCTGAAATGCGAGGAGAGCTGTGCAGGCTGACATTGGCAAAGGTTAATCAACGATAAGCAAAGACGTGTCACACGAAACCTGATGATCTGCAGCCCTGCAGCTGTCAAACGACCTGCAATTCATCATTCATCAGACATTTCTATTTTAATTCAGGTTACACTGCGAAATCAACTCACTTTTATTTAAGAATTCACAATTTTTGCTTTCAGGAGGAACTAAATATCCACATGATTTGGAGATTTACCCACAACAGAGGTCATTCATTTTCATTGTTCAAACATTTTTTTCAGCATCTCACCTGTATTGTCTCCCCATGATCTGTGGTAAACCTTCTGGATCTATCATTTTACTCCTCAGACTGGCAGTGTGAGGCACAGGTATATTCCTTGTAGGGGAAGCTTTCTTGTGGTAAAACCATTTTAAGACCATCATCTTCTTTAAATCTCACAAGAAGCAAAGCCTGGATACCTAGATTCACGGGATAAGATATATTCAAAGCGTAAATGAATTAGTCTTTCACACAGGGAAAGATCTGCTGCTGCTTCTGCTGCTGCTGTAGGTGTACCATGAAAACAACCAGAAACGGTTTATTTTATTTCCAAGCACAATTAATTTACAGTAAAGATTAGTTTTTGTGGCAACACTTGTTGTGATTTGTTTACTTTCACGTCAGACACACAAGAAAGACTCAATTCAACATTAATACTTACTGGCTAAATATTGTGGGTTACATGTCCTGCTCGGGAGGTCTTGTGCCAAACCAGTGCCGAGGATCTGTGGCTCTTATAAATCTGGTCTGGAGCAGGGAGCAGAGAGGAGGGTGGAGCTGGACTTTGGACCAGGGGTAGGGTTCTTTAGCTAAGAATAGAAAAGCACACAGGCTCGCCATCATGATGCCCTATTTGGCAGAGGAAACACACACTGCGATACTTCGTCTGAGAGGTAACAAATACAGAGCTCTGCTCGAGTCCTCTGCCAGACAGGGTGTGTATCTTATCCGATTTGTGACCCATATTAAGCAGCCTAACAGGTCCCTGACCTGAAGAAAGATCAGGGTCACATTAATAATCTTTAGTCTTCAATTAATATTTATGTTTAAACCCGAGCCACAGGCTGCACATAATCACCATCTGTACCTTATGATGAATTATTTCTTTTCTTTCTGTTTTAATGCTGTATGTAAAGCACTTTCAGTTGTCTGTGTGTATGATAGTGCTGTACAATCTCACCTTTACTTATTAGTGTTTCCATTTATACTTGTATTCTACATTTCAGAGGCAAACACTGCACTTTTTACTCCACTACATGTTTTTGCCAGTTACAGCTACTTGTTACTTTTACAGGGCTCAAAATCTTCTTCTTATCAAGTCATGTTTGTGCGTAATTGACTCCTTAAAGTTTTATTTTCTTGTTTTTAGAGATAAACTGTTTTCAGTGCATATCCCTCAAGTGTTTTCATAGGTTCTGGTGCAACAACCTGCTTCCGTTTTCTTTTTTCTTGTTTCAAACTACAAACACACTGAAGCGTGAAAGTGATGTAAAACAAGGACAAATCTGAATATGTCATTGTACAACACTGACAGAGTTTGTCTTAGGAAAAAATGTCTCTAGGACTGACTTTTTATATGGAAACGTCTCTATCAGACTGTGGGTTATTCTGATTAAAGTGCCCAACAGGATCAAATAGTTAACATAGTTCAACCGACTACAACAGTATTTGTATTATTGGGTTGTTATTACTGAGGCATTAACGTGTAAGTAGCAATGAATGCCTCAGTAATAACAAACTAATAAAATAAGATGAATAACACAACCCAATCATTTTTTCTATAATGAGTACTTTCACTCTTTTACCGGACCTCTATTCTCAGGAGTGATGGCAGCTGATAAAAGGCTCCACGGTCTCTGCAGGTGGCACACAGTGTAGACGCAGGCTGCCCCCTGGTGGTGGATGTTCAGTCCTGCATGTAGCCATGTAGAGATCTTAAGAGTTGCTGCAGATGGTTAAAAACTACGATCACATATTTTACGTGTTTATTGATCTTGATAAACTGAGCGCGTGAGGCCTTTGAATAACACGGAATTTAACTAAATAAAAACAGTGTCGAGGTTTTCTAATGGCAGTTTAATACAGCTACAATTCTCATTAACGTGTATTCTTCTGTTCTTCATATTCTCAGTGAAAGACTGATATGAAAGAGAAATTAAAAGCTTTGCTCAACAGATAACCTTTGTTTCCTCTGCGCTGGTCGGACTGGTCTTTTACAATCACCAGATTGAACGGTAACATTGAGATGACTTCAGTTGACACCCGTGCGTAAAGTTTACTCAGCAAACCTCCTGTGCAAGTCTTGTGTAACAAGACTAAACCCCGGGAAGGGATGGGTTAAATTTTCTTGCCAGAAAGTTTGACTTTGCGTAAGTAACTGGCCTGAATTCGATAAATGAGCAAAAAAAGGCTCCAGCCCTCCTCTCCTCTCCTCTCCTCTGTCAGTCCTGAGAACTGATATGTTGTTCTGTTGACGACCTGGAACTGAGAGCGCGCTGCTTTGCATCCACTTCACACAGAGAAACATCTGCGCGCAGTACATTTCATAAATTGACTTTCTGGAGGGATCTGACTTTTTCTGCCATGGCAAAATGGTCACTTTTATTTTTATATTTTTTTCAAGGACTACTTCCCCTCATCATCTTTGGGCAGCAGCAGCAGCAGCGCACAGCTGGCTCCTGGCGGAACCGGATTCAGTGGCAAAACAATGGACAGGTTTACAGTTTAATGAGCACTGGGTCGGAGTACCAGGCTCCGGTTCGGTCCAGGAGCCACTCGAGGGTTTTTGTGAGCAGGAGGGACGGCACCCGGAGCCAAGTGCCGGGAGCGCACAGAGGAGCCACGCTTGTAAGATCCGGACAGGGTGAGTCCAGACAGTTCAGGACTGATCACGGTGCAGAACCGGGATTTTTTACACCTGGACACGATGGTAGACAGTTTGTGCCTGTTAATGCTCGTGCGTCAGGGGCCAGACAGCAGCCTGAGCGCCCTCATGGAACAGGAGCTATGGGTTATCCAGGAGGAAGAGAGCCGGGGCCAGGTGCGCAATACCAACAGTTACGCGCGGTGCCCCAGGCACAAGTGTCTGTCTCCAGGCAACCCGCGCAGACGGATCACTCCATCCCAGCATATCCCTCAACTCTGGAAAGAGAAACTGAATCCCCCGCTTCCTTCCCTGCTCTTACTGAGGATTCTTTAAATGAGGCAACCAGAAATGGAGAGGACATGGTTAACGACGACCCGCGAAACCCGTCAAAAAACCACAGGAATTCTGTTTTCTACAACATGTATCCCACGAGAGGGAGGTCAGGGGCCCGCACGCGGCGTCCGCCTGACACAGGATATGGAACAAGATATTTCCAAAATGGTAAGTCAAGTATCCTGATCACATGGAATGAGTTTAGCCTTGTTAAGTAGCATGGATTGAAATGATCTTAGACTAACATGATGGTCCAGTGGCTGCATCAATTAGGATAAAACCTCCTCAGTCTGAATCATCATCCATTGCATTAAAATTACATTTGAAATCAAATGGCTTTATGAACATTTTTGAAGACAGATTGCACAGCCACATGTCTCACTCACTAAGAGAAAAAGGATGAATGGCAAGAAGGGGGAAAAAAATTTGGATTTGGGTAATTTGGACTGTGGATCCAAGACTGACAGCACAGGAATGTAAAATCTTGAATTATGCCAACAAACACAAACAGCTGCTCTCATTTTCAGCCTGGACACTGTCTAATTCACTGGATTGTTCTCAGCATGAAAAAAATGGCAACATTAAGATCTCAGAATTACAGGGGGAAAAAAAAAAAAACTTGGATTGTCCCTTTAATTTCCTCCAGGACTGCCAGACCTTGTGCCAGACCCATATGCCATCCAAGCAGGTGCTTATGTCCAGCGCATGCAGATGTATGCGCTCCGCTGTGCAGCTGAGGAGAACTGTCTGGCCAGGTAATCTGTGGTGCCAAAAGTGATTCACCTCTTCAGCACGCACATAGCAGCACGTAGACACTGAGGCAGACACACACACACCTACGTTACATACACTCACAGACATGTATTTCCTTTGTTTTTACTGCTTGTTGAAGGTTAATTTCACTTGTCTGACGACAGTCTGGTTGTTTTAGGCCAGCCTTCATTTATCTCAGTATAGCTTTGAATGTGTCAGGATAACTGTTGTGTTGATAGAGTTACTAAAAAAAAATGTTTGATCTTATTATGGAGCAATGATTCTCCAACATGATGTCCTGCCAAGACATAAATGTTCTGGGTTGGTTTTCCCAAAAGCATTAAGTACAATGGAACAAACCCTCTGCGCTCCGTTACTCTTAAGAAAACTAGGCCCTGGGAGCTCAGCCAGTAACACTTTCCAACGCAGCTTATGCCCGTTTCCCCTGTGATCCATCCAAGGTCAGCTTATGGACCCGCTGTGCGAGACATCGACTTCAGAGTCCTCCTAAGGTTCCCCCAGAAAGTGAAGAACCAAGGCACCACCGACTTCCTCCCTGTCAAGCCGAGATATCAGTGGGACTGGCACAGCTGTCACCAGTGAGTTTACACAGCCTGACATGAAATCAAATGACCTCACATCATTCAAAATGTTGTGATTAGCACGGCTCCATTCAGATCTGATATAACAGGCCAGAAAAACACCACACCCTCAAAATTCAGTTAAAGACAATAAAGTTGTGGCCTAAAAGGAATTCCTGAGCCCTGCCTCAAGGAAAGAAAAAAAAGTTATTCTGTTCTATTCAATCTACCCTACACCCTCAGGCACTACCACAGCATGGACGCCTTCAGTAACTACGACCTGCTGGACGTCGTCACTGGACGTAAAGTTGCAGAGGGACACAAGGCCAGTTTCTGCCTTGAGGACACAGGCTGTGACCCCGGATTCAGGCGTCGCTATGCCTGCACATCCCATACACAGGTAACATACAGTTATAGGTGCGTAAGGTGAACGTCAAATCAGCTAGCTTCTGTCTCTGAGATCAAGGTCCGGTTTGCATGAGAGGCCTGTGCACAGCTGAGGAAACATACAGCCGACACAGTCATTCACACAAAAGCACACACAGCACACACATGTTTAAAATGACACCGTGGGATTAAACATTCACGGTTCATTTAGTTTTAGTGGTTTCATTTATTCCATTTTACACGGTTCTTGAAGTCACTTCCTGCTGATTCATGGCCGTCACACAACGGAATCAAAAAACAGTTCAGTCACTCAGCAGCTCTTCAATTTAGCAGGCAATGGTCTTACCAACGTATAAGGTGCGGGAAAATGCCAGGTGGGGGCAGAGTCTACTTTGAATTACAAAAAAGAAATCCAAACATCCTCTTTGATTTTACAATGTTTGTATTGACTTTAATGGAAGTGGCCTTTTTTGTCAGAATTAATAGCGTTTTCTCACCTTATAAGTGGCTGTATATCCAGGTTCCAGGTGACCGCCCATATCTGGAGTTAGTCAGTCTTGAGGTCTGGTCCAGTGAACAGCAGCTTTAAATCTGAGGAGGAACATACTGAGGCTGTGTACGACACAGTTAAATTCTTAAGTAGTATTCAAGTAGTTTGGGGATTTGTGAGACACAAGACCTCGACAGCAGAGGCCTGAGGTATCCTGACTTTCAGACACTAGTGTGGGTCAAGTCCCAGAAACACTGGCTCCTACACTTTCTATACCCCCTTTTCTTAGAAAATACTCACATATTCTTTTGATTTACACTCTCAGGTTTCTCTTATGTCTGAAGTCTCCAAGCCTGAAATGAGATTACTCAAGTGAGTGGAGTTCTCTGACTTGACAAAGTTCCTCCAGGGCCACAGAGGACATTATACAGCTGTGCTCACAGCCGTGTAAAACCATTGGAGAGCCTGTTTAAAAGGCAAATTAAAAATCCTTTATGTAAATCAGACTAGAAAAATATAATAACTATTTAGGACTTGTTCAGTGAGTTATAGATTTAGTCTCTAAGCAGAAGTTATTTTGAATTATTTTGTGTGATAAGCAGTGAAAGGACAACAAGCACAGGTTTACTTTTCAAAAAAAAGGGTTTTATCTACTATTTATTTTATCACCCAAAAACATGTCACAAATATAAATGAATGAAAATAAGCAAATTTGGTAAATAACTGGGCCCTTAAAAGAGGTCGACAAAACAGAGATCTACCCAAAAAAGCCTGTGAACAAACAAGGACCTTAACTCGACTAACTGACCTAACAAAGGGAGACACATGCAGTATTCTGGATGATCAGCCTATTTGAAACAAAAAGGGGAAAACAACACAGATAATAACTAAAACTCAATCCAAATAAACAACATTCCCCCCCCATGCTGATACAGCCTTTGGTCTGGTCCATTTCTATCGCCTCTGTATTTAAACCCTCAGACACCTTCTTCTGGCCAAACCAGGAAGGAGAACTGACAAAATTGTAAACCAAACAAACTGTGATTGTGTTTTATGAAACTTAAGTGACTGCAAAGAAAACGAACAAAGACTGTGGTAATAATGTGGGAGAGTGGGTGAAACCATAAACCTGTCTTTGGATTTCTGTGTTGGGTGCGGTGAGACTGGATGAAAATGATCATGTTTCTACTTTAATTGTGTGGCTATGGATACGGCCGTCACACTCTCCTGTTATGTGTGAAAACTGATGAAAAAATCGTGTAAAAAATCGAAATCCACACAATAAAGGCTGTGTTTAATTGAGACTTGTGAGATATTGGACCAAAAATACTTTTATTTTTATCACATTAAGAAAGTAAAGACACCATTTAATGGGACATAGAATAGGCTGCAAGACAGAGCTGCACAGTTTCAGGGTTTTTTTTTTTTTTTTTTTTTTTTTGCAAATCCTCCAGCTCCACTTCTGAGAAATGTTTTTCTAACTAAAACTCAGATGTATGCCAATGAAAAAAAAACATCCTGAAGACATGGGAATATTTATTATATCTGTTGTCTGGGCTCTGTGATTCTGGCTTTGCGCTCCTTAGTCCTGGTTTCTTGTAACAACTTTGCTTCCAAGAGCTGTTTGTATAATTTAAACTCAAATCTGCTTCATTTGCAGCTCTTGTTGGAAAATAGTAGTCAAAGTCGACTAAAGAGCCTGAGGCAAAGCTTTAAACCACACTGAGGGGGGGGGGTTGGGTTGTGTTTTCAGGGACTGAGCCCAGGATGCCACGACATCTATGCTGCCAACATCGACTGTCAGTGGATCGACATCACTGATGTACCTCCAGGAAACTATATCTTGAAGGTAAAAATATGTGGGGTGAACTTTATATCAACTGTTCGGCTGCATAATTTCACCTATCCATGAGTTTGATTTCACAGAGTGCAGATTGATTTCATTTACATTGCCTGCAGAGCTGCTCCAAGTCTTATTTATGATTTCTTCAGGTTACTGTCAATCCCAATTTCCACGTTCCGGAGTCGGACATGACCAACAACATCGTGAGATGTGATATCACTTACACAGGAATTTATGTTCAGACGCGCAACTGTCGAGTAACAAGGTAAGAGTTTCTGTTGAACATGATCCCTGCATATGCTTTATTTTCATTTTTAACATTTTAATTACCTGTTAAAACAAGCTTATGATTAAAAGAAAACCATGACTTCAGCTTATTAAACCATTATAACCTATTGGTTTAGCTGAAAAATGCATTGTCAAACAGCTGAAAACCGGACTGTTTTTCTTAGTTCATGAGAAGTAGATAGTTTAGAGCTAAATGGATAGAGACAGAGAAACTAAACATATAAAAAAAATGGGGGGGGGGGCAGTCTGATAGCAGTTGTAAGATGCTGTGTTAGGCATTGTGTGTGTACTTGTTGGATGTCTGCATTTTCACGTCTCTTTCTATTTTCAGGGCTTGAAATCTTCGTTTCCTGTCCCATCTGCAGGAGTTTGGCAGCAACCATCTCACTCTGTGCTTGTACAACAACATCAACACTCTGAGTTACAGAAAGTGCAACTGGTAAAGTGATTAATACAGCTGTAATCCTGCATTACAATCCTGCCATAGAGTCCTGTGTTGCGTTTATTGCTATTAAATGCAAAAGTTTACATCAATTTTGTAAATGAAACCAGTGAGATCGCCAGTTTTACTTGACTATGTATTTCTACTTATGTGCCATGATTCATTACAATTTTTTTTTGCCTTAACAAATACAAGTACTGTGTTCTTATAGTTAATTTCTTGAATGCTGGTTTATTGCTTGAAATGTGTTTTTTGTTGCCTTTTGTCTTTGTCTTGTTTTTCTGCTTGGTGTTATTGCAACATGCACATCGTTAGTTGTTACAGGTTTATTTAAAGGATAAAATATTCTATATTTTTATTATTTGCAACAAATCTCATGAAAAGACCAAAAGCAACATTACATTCACTCATCTCTCATAACTATCTGCCTTCTCTACCCAGCCTATGGCTCTCAGTCCCAATCTCACTGTAGTAGCAGTAAATGTAGTTTTTAGAAAATGTTACTTAAACAGGAGTAAATGGTACATTTGTTAGGACCTATTCTCAGCCGCAGATGTGGACGTGCAAGTGAATTTATGGCAGCAGAAGAGTGTGTGTGGGATCAACTGTGTTCATGGAGCGTGTCACCCAGTGCAAGAGCGTGTCAATATGTTTTTGATAGTTTTGCAATAACAATGGAGGAATAAGCTGTATCCTGGATACACAGACGATACTTGTTAGTAGGAAAAATTTATTGTTGGTTTTGGTCTTTTCATGAGATTTATAAGAAGAAAATAAAATATCACCAGACTATAAATCTTTAACCACCTGGTGGTAATAAATATCTCAAATAGTAAGAGTAGTATGTTGGAGTATGTTTATGTAAATGTGTGCTTGTGTATAACTGAGTGAATGGAAAATGTTGATAGCTGTAATGTAAAACTGTTAATATTGCTTGAACGTTGTTGAAAACTTTATCTTATTCTGTTAGATTTAATGCAATAAAGACGGCGAGGAGTGAGTCATAAAATTTCTTCCCTTTTATTTTTAAATAATAACCACAGATAACGTTTTAATCTTGTACAATGCCAGAATTTCAGTGGAGAAAATCCTCAGAGCCCAGTGGATAATATTGACCTCTTAGGATTCTCTCCATGGTTTATTATTAAAAATACCAAGGGCCATCAAAGAATACATTCCTTTGACAGTTTCAAAACTTGTATCCAAGCTGGAGAAAAGCAACTTGTTGATACAAAGTGACTCAGCGCTCTGCAGGAGTGAATCAGTATTTCGTCCTTGTCCTGTTGAATGGAGGAGCTTTACTTTGAGTGATGCGTGCAGATTGTGGCCTCAGAGACAAACAGGCCTGCCGGCAGACACTTGCAGGCATGTTTGCTGACAGGCCTCTGTGAAGACACATCCTGCAGGATCTTATACAGCCATGCCATATCTACTAAAACACAGCCAGAGCACGATGAATGGAGGCCTTTTCTCCTCGGCGCATGTAGAAAGGAGTGTCTCTCAGCTGCTGGCCCACAATTCACCGTATCGTCTTCATTCACATCCAGAGGGGATTGTCTGAGATGGCAGGACTTTTAATAGCACTGGGATATTTTGTCTGAGTTTTAGGATTGACAGCCACCAGAGCATATCTCCAGCAAGTCATTCAAATATGTTTCTACCAAAGGCAAATGTGTTTGTGCAGCAAGCACTAGACTGTTTCAAACAGCAAAAGAAGAACCTGTGTCTATTGTATTCACTCCGGGCCTCACCCGATTCAAAGATATTTTTACCTTGAGTAAATCACTCCATTAAAAAAAAAACCTTTATATACCATGAAGCAACTTTGAATGATGTACTGGAAAACATATAGACTCCAGACAATGTATGCGCTATTAAATGTACAGATGTTGGGTATTTACAACGACACAGAGCTCAGTCTCAGCTTCAGAAAGCGATCCAGGTATACTAAGCCCAGTTGAAATGGTTTACGTTGGATGCTGCCAAAGTGCTTCCCTGCCAGAGTAGATTGTCTATGTTGTTGAAAGTGTCTGGAAAATCCCCCCGACTCTTATTTAGTCGACTCCATTCCTGTCTGTCTTGGAATTTCCAGGGCAATATTTACAGACAATGACTATTTCAGCAAAGGATCTCTGTACTGGAGAGTTACAGTCCAGATCTGCTCCTGAATAGAAGTCAAACATGACTAAAAGTCTACAGTTTACTATGTTCACCATTTTAGTTTAGCTTGTTAACATGTTAGCATTTGCTGATTAGCACAAAGTACAATCAAGGCTGATGAACAGTGTTTATATTTATCAAGATAAGTTACAAAAAATTAGAAATAAAACAAAAATGTGAAACTCATGATGGCACTGGAGGAAAAGTCAGGGGGTCATTGAAGTCATTAGGATTCATCCTCTTTTTTCCTCACCTTCAAAGTCAGACTAACGTTGTCGTCCATAGAGCCAATACAAATTCATCGCCAATCAGGTGATGAGTGTTTGGCTGACTCTTTTCCTCAGAACTCAGCTGGCCTTCTCCTTTTTGGACCAGCATGTCATTTTAAACATGTCATGCTGTAGAGAAGACAGTCACTGTTTGCTCAGCTGTGGAGCTTCACACCAACATCTGGATCCGGAAAGTCTCGTTAGCCTTACACAAGCACAAGAGCAGCATTGGCAAAGACCAAAAAAAAAAAGAAGGCAGGCTAGCACCTTTCATTTGGCCTCAGCAAATACAATCCAGCCTACAGGTAGGTAAGGTGAGGAAGGGACAGGTTTTGCCATTTGCCTGCAGCCTACACTGGACATTCTGTGGCGAGGAGAGACATTTTCCGGATGCATCTGCACGTCGGTGGGCAGTGTTTGGAGAGGTTACTAAGGGCAGAGTATGGTATTTGCAGGTCATATTTCAACAAAGCGGGGCCACGTGAGAGCCGGCAGGGACGTAACAGAGGAACGTGCTCAGCCTAAATGCAGTGTCTTGACAGGTTGGTTTAGGCACAGAGCAGAGAAATTCCTCAGCAGTTCTGTCATCCCATTGAGATTAAGAACAGTGCTGAGGTCAGCCATAGACCAGCGAGGGCGTGCAGGGCAGACACGCTGGGCCACTTCCTCTCCCGGGGGTCACTTACACAACCAGCAGACACAGTGTTGTAAATTTAGAGAGTGAAAACTGCATCAAGCTCTGAGACAAAAGACAGAGGCGTCATTTTCTAGTGGGATTGATGATGAATTCTGTTTCTCTTTCAAGCTGGGTGGTAATGTGACTTGGGTGGCATTTGGAGGGACGGCTCAAAAGATTTGTTATTCTTTGATTGTTGATCCACTGTACTGTCTCTCTATATGTGCTTCATCTCTTACCTCAAACACTTGTATTAATTTTTCTCAGAACCAATTTGTTTTGTTCACTTTAAAATGCCTGAAGGAAGCCTCCAGTCATGATGGAAATGGCAAAATTGTGTTTTTATTGTGAGCTGTTAGACATAAGGATTTGTAGAAAATGAATTCATTGTGTGATTGTCTCTGAAAAATTGGTGTTTTTTTACTTTAGAGAAAACTGAAAATCCCTAATTGATTACAAACCGTGAATTCCATTTTTTTTTTACTTTTGATGGGATTGACAGTAACCTGATTTTCAGTTTGTCAGTTGCTGTTCCCAGTAAAATTGTGATTCCTACCATTTCAAGATAATGAATTTTAATTTAGTACATTTCTTAATAATTTTATTGTAATTTCTTTCAGTTTTGATGTAACTCTACATGTAAAACAATATACCGGTAACATAATAAGCTGCTTGAGGCTGGCTCCAAAAGCAAGTCAATCCCCATACACTCCCATGTTAAAATGCTCAACTGTACCGCAGAAATAAACATGTTTACAGTGTAGCACAAAAAACAGTTTTGGTCTTTATGGCTAATTTTGTCCTTCATGACAACTGCATGAGGGATACATTTTTATACAACTCGCTCAATTAAATTTTATTGAGGCTTAAAGTTCTGCATAATTGAGAGCATGCCACTTTGAGTGACAGTTGGGTGAGCGTATGCTTAGCACAAGCTGGCATGCACCAAAGTCTGGGCTCTACACACGCCCCTCCTCTTCACCCATTTTTGGATTAGCCGGGAGTTTGGCTGAGTCAGGTACTGGCAAGATGGCGACGACAGAATGGCCCACTCTGAGCTTCAAAACAGCTCTTCAGAAACCTGTGGGAGACGTCACTGAGGCTACGGCCATCTTTATTTAGAGTCTATGATTGTAATAGCGCTACGTCTTCAGGGCAGATGGGAAGCTACAGTGAGTCGCTATCAGAAACTCACAAGACAGGCCGGGGCTAGCTTGTTAGCATGCTAACTTAAGTAGAAGAAAAGACAGAGAAAAGAGTTAACATTGGTGTTGCTTTTCACCGCTGGAGACAGCTGATGGTGAGTGAAGGAACGAAGTTTGATGCTGAACTCACAGCGTTTCTCTTTAGACTGGTAAGTAAATAGCTGCTAATGCTAACGTTAGCTATGTAGCAATAACAAAACTTACAAATAGTTCCTTTAAACCAGAGGACAGCAAAACGCTGCTTTTCAGACTAGTGTAAGTTTCTCTTACGAAATATGTAAATGGTATTTCGACACTGTTTCTAAACAACTTCAAACTTCTCTTTGGCATCTCTGCACCGTCATTTCTTGTAACTCAACATATGCACATAAACATTGAAATATACACCAATACCAATATATCTACAATGAGCTAATATCAGCCAAAATCCTTGCACTGCCAATTTATTAGTCGGCTCTAATTAACATTAAAAATCTATTAAAATGGAATAATACAGCACTATGTCAATAAAAAATGTACTTACTTAACTCAATATGTAAAATCTGATCGCTGTGTTTTTCCAGTCATTAAAACAAACCACAGAAATTGCTGTAATCAGTTAGAATTACATGTTATTATAAGCAAGCTGTTTCTATCTTTCCCTGCCTGGCTCTGTGTTTTAGGAGGCTGGTTGGATCTATTAGCACCTAGATGTTGTTCAGGATCAGGCCGTGGCCTCAAAGACAAAGACTCTGGTTGTTCAGCATGCTGTAGTTTTCCATCCAGAACCCTAAACAGATCAGGAAACAATTACTCAACTGGACAAGCATCGAACACCTGCGGTATTAACAGCATCCTTCTCATGTATTATTTTTGGTTGGATGAGACAAATGGGAGGTGGCAGAGACTCAGAGTTGTTCTTGGTCTGAATCTCTGTCTGACATTCCATAGTCACTCCAGTATTTACAAAGGCGGCACAGCCAGCGGCTCAGCCAGTGTGCCTTCTGTCTGACAAGATCCATAGACAGGGTATGCAGAAAGGCCCAGACTTGGACAGCAGGCCAAGACATGGCCTTTCTCAAAGCCCATCAGACTTAAGGTGCTGCAGACATTATCTAAGATCCAAGACTCCAAGACTCTGAGATTGATGGTTATTTTGCAATTGCAACTTGGCATTCATACAGCATTCTGCGCTACTCTTATCCCAAGATATTTGTTTTAAAAGTTAGATTTTAGTCAAATAGAACAGTTAAAAGAAAGGTCTTTTACAAAGCATATTTTTTATCTCTCTGCCAAAACAGACCTCCCCCATGAATAGCAAGTTGAGTGATACTGTATGCGGAAAATGGAAAATATTATGATACAGTTCATGACTAAGCTATAAAAATATTTAGTCTTTGCTCCTGCAAGAAGATGCCAAATTTAGGTGATCCAGTGCTGCACTTACCATTCATTAGTCTAGTGCTAAAACAATTAAATCAAGCTGAATCAAGGGGGGAAAAAAACAATCAATTGCTTAAGTCATTTATCAAGAAAAAAACCATGATGATTTTAGAAATACTGAGGGCAGGAGTCCAAAGTCCTGCAACACCAACTCCTTAAACATGTTTGTATTGAGGTTAGCACTAAAAAAGTATCTTTTATGTCTTTTCAGGTTAAATAATCCTGAGGATGGAATGGAACATTAGTTTGCTTAATAGGAACATTAGCTTCAGCTAGCCAGCAACAACTGATGAGAACATTTTTTATTCCAATTCAACTGTATTTTTTTTTTATCAATGGTTGCTAGTTAGAAATGTTATAAGTAAATGTTTTTAAGTAAATGTAGTAGTAAGTAGTAAGTAAATGGGTCAATCAAAGATCCATTGTTTGAAAAATGACTATGAATTTTAAGTATTAAGTGCCATAAAATGGATATGTGCAGTCCTAACAGTCTGTGTAGCTGTAAGGGGGCATCGCCTGTGGCCCTGATTTGGTGTTTTTGGTGTCACCTTGAGATCTGGGAAATTGAGATCGGCATCACTATTTCAGACATTTTATAGCCTAAATTATTTATCAAAAAAATAATTGTCAGATTAAGTGATATTAATATCTGTAAAAGTCTGTACAATTATCAAATCATGACAGAAGGATGAGGACTCAGGTTCTTGAGGTACCACTTTTCATTTCAATCATTGCTCTTGACAAGTAATAGCCTGTGGCACACAAGCTTGCTCATCCATCTAACCTTCAGCAGCTTATCGACTCTGTGCAACCTTGCCTCTCGCTTGCCATAAACACAATACCTAACAGCTATTGGCTGCAGACACAGCTACGGTGAGTGACAAAGTGGCCAGCACAGTTAACAGCTTGCATGTGTCATCCTCCATCTGTAGCTCTCCCCACCAGTGATACAGACAAAGAGAGACAGGGAGTGAGGGACGTTTTGCACAGTGGATGAATTATACCAGCTCTCAGAGGGAAGCGGTGTGCTCTGATAGCAGCAGGAGCTTGTGAGAGCAGAGTGGTGAAAGTCTCAGACAAGATTTAAACAAACAGAGTCACAGACGCTGGCTTCACTGGCCCAGGGCACCGCAGCGAGCGTCCTGACAGAATAAGGCCATGAGAGATCACACACTGCCATCTCCAGATCAGCCCAAGAAGTATTCCTACTGCTTCCACAACCATTTGTGGCACACTCTAACTTTTGTTAGACACACTGAATGCATGAATCATTTGTCAGAGTCAGAGGTGATAAAATGCTGGCGCCGTTTCTTTTATTTCATATTCAAATGTGGGACATTCAGCGGTCAATACAACATCTCTAGACTTAGATAATTGAGATGTCAGATGGATTTGTATGAGAAAAGTGCAGAAGAATCTATCGCATGGCAATTTAATCTCCACTCTGCTTTTCCAACTTTCCTGTCTCCTCACTGATTTTTCCTCTTACATACTGTGACAACCATGTAGCAGGGAGAAAAACAGTCTAAATCCTTTTATCTGTTAAATATCTGCACAATAGTTTAGATGATGTAAATCTTAATATAGCATACATTAGGATAGGTAGCATCCAGACTGGTGTAAGCTGCCTGACAATAGATGTTTTTACAATAAAAAAAATAGCAAAAATAAATTAATACTGGCACGAAAAGATACCTTAATGTTATTTATGGGTGGTTGTAGCAGTTCACAGTCTCATTATTTGCCACTATATCTCCAGTAACAGTAGAAGCATACACTTTCAGAGAGGTTTGACTGCCACTCCTCCACGCTGCTGTGCTTGCAAGACATACAGTCACGGGTCGACTCTTGGGGGAGTTTTCCCTTTGGAAATATCCCCACCTTCAGGCCGTGCTCTCTTTCCATCGGCTGACAGCTTGAAGTCTCTGTGGCATCAGTTCCTGCTGGAAACATCATAACAAAAGAAAGGAGAAGGGGAAAAAAAAAAGTAAATTCAGTTCTCAGCACCTCCATGAGCTCAGACTCAATTCTGCTCCTCAATCAAACACTGTTCATGCAATTCATGCTTCCTCTCAAGGCTTTCCTTTTAACATCATTCATTGATGGAGCCACAGAAACAGTGTTGATCTCTGCTGTACTGAAAGTGAGGCAGTGTGTGCGTGCCTTGTTGTCATGTTTCCTCACATGCAGAGGAGCACTGTAAACCCGATTTTATCACGTCATCATTTATGTGTGTTTGCTCATGTACTTCTGTCTTTGTGAAGACCAGTGTAAGTCTTAGACCTTGAGACTGAGGACCTGTGACGACAAATGTGACGACAAATGAGAGCCTTTATTCCAGTGAAATATACATCTAATGGCTGGATTAAACAGGCAGTGTGGCCTGGAGGAGAAAATTAGCTGTGGTCCTCCACTGACTGCCCCATTTCACCAGCAGTCACTTTATTTGTCCCCAAAATTGGTCATGCAGCAGTGAAACAGAAAAACAGGATAATGCACATAAACATGCGTAAAAAACACAATACACAAGTTAAAACAATTAAAAATAAGTGAAATTAGAATATTATTATTTTATAATATTGTTGATATTTCTTATAATAACAGTTAAACCGTGGATTTCTAAAGTCTGGTGTCATGCTACAGAGGAAACAAATTCTAGATGAGGGAATACAACTTCATAACATCTCCTGACATTTTTACTGCAGAAATCAACCAGGGAGAAAATTATAAACTTTAAAAAAAAAAATTAGATGTTATCATTTCAGTTGATATTGTGTTACTTAGTGGTGCATATTCACAAACTTAGTCATTAATTCAGCCTTGGTGCTGATATAAATATCCAACTTTATACTCAACTTTTGAGTCCTGTCTTGTATGATTTCTCCTGGGTTATACAGCGTAATAACTCTGTCTTAGTTTTACCATGTTTTACCATGTTTCCTATTTTATTTTACTAAATCTTCTTCTATTTTAGTTTTTAGGCAATCATATCAAATTGTATGTTAAATCCGTATTATATGTTATGTCAACTGTAAAAGTGACTGTATTAAGGCTAATAATCACAATAGTGGGAGCTAATGGGGATCTTAATATATGTAAAAAAAATCAAAAGACAAATATAGGGTTATTGATCCAGGGTTAAGGCTAGGGTTAGGGTTAGGGAATGTAAAGTGTGTGTGTCTTGTACTCTTTATGAAGATCGGCTGATGTTTCATTAGTCCTCTCTTAATGTCTTTCACCTTCCTTCTGTGAAACTAATAGGTATTCTTTACATATTAAATAATTGTTTGAGATAAGACTTGCTTTCACGGTTAGGAAATGCATTTTGTCAGTGAGAATCCTCACAAGTAAAAAAGTACAAGTGTGTGTGTGTGTGTGTGTGTGTGTGTGTGTGTGTGTGTGTGTGTGTGTGTGTGTGTGTGTGTGTGTGTGCCTTCATTGCGTAGCACAAAATCTGTTGTGCTAGCCATTCTAACACTGAACCTGCTCTGGGTGACTAATTCAGATGATTCAGGCCTTTAAAATGTCAGCAGCATCGTTGCTTTAAAAGACTTTGAAAGTGAAAAGAAAGGACATTGTTGAGCAGACTAGCTAACATTACACATACAGCTAATTTAACTCTTATCTCAATAGATAAACGAAGGCTCAATCACATGCACCTTTTCAACCCATTTCTATGGCTGCCAGCCTCGACCTGAGGCTGCAGCCTTGTGAGCGCGTCTCTCCTGCAGTATTATATGGTGGAGAGCTGCTTTGCTGTGCAGCGGTGCTCCTGTTTATATGGACGTCACAAATATACCAAGAGTTTGCCTCACTTCGTTCTGGCATGTGTCCAGGGGATTTTATGATTAAAACCAGATTGCGCTTGCCCAACTCGGAGAGGGACGGAAAAATAGATTGCAGTTACACATACTCTGCACAAGAGGGAAGTACAGAAACATGCACGTCTGCCTCTGCAGCATCTGCAAAGGTGGACTTTTTAGGGGAATACTAAACAGTATGCATCTGCTGTTTAATTCCCTCCTTCTGCTAGAGGGACTTTTTCACAGATGTCATCTTGTTATTAAGTCTGCCTCTAGCTCACAGTCAGTAATGATACATCTGACTGTGGCGCAAGAAGAGAGGTTTAGTTCTTCCTCATCATCACCTCCTAACAGTAAATTATGCCAGTTCTGAGTCACAGCTATGATCATCCTGTAAATATAATGACTCCTCTTTTGTGTCACATGATGAGAGTCAAGTGGCTGTAGGGTCTTCCTGCGCCAAAAACAACTGAGCTCCTGCCAACTCTCAGTTCCCTCGAAGTCATGACTAAGTCACACTGCAAAAAAAATCTGTCTCTAGATTTTTATCTTCCTTTCTGCCATCAGAAAAAATGTAAAATAACAGAATTTTTAAATTGCTTGAATAATATACACCTCATTTTGAGGCTTAGTTTGAAAGAAATTCGTCCCATCTCCTCAGAAAAGTAGAGTTTTACTTCAGCGAGGGAAGTTGTCTCACCCCTGCTGGCTGATTTTCACCACATGTGCAACCGAACTGAAGAGAGAAGATTAATTTCTCATTTCACTTGCTGAGACAGACACATTTTGCAGTGTAGAGAAGACTGGGAAATCATGTGACATCAACAAAAGCAGACACATTACGCCCCCCTCCGCCCCCGCCCACACACAGACACCACACACACTCACACACATCAAACACACACATAAATCCTTTTTTGTAATGGGGGAACACTGCAATTCATTTACTGTCTTTGAAAACTACGCTGCCAGTAAACACGGCAAACGTCATCAGCTACGAGCACTGACGGAAACATCAACACTGTAAAAGAAGAGAGGGAAAAACACGTCCTCTTGTATCTGAGCTTACCATGAGTTGTTCCCCTGCCTGGTCCCTTCTGACCGCCACTCGCTGCAGCAGGGTCTCATGTTTCAGGCCCCCATGGCACCGGGGCAGACCACCCCCCTCCCTCACACCATGCTGGTGCTCTGGCGGCCTCTCCCGGGGTAGGCAGGGGTCTTCACAGGCTTGGGAGGTGGGTACGGGCCCTTGCCACAGCGCCCATTTTGAGGGTACGGTGGAGGCTTCTGAGTTCTTGAACTGGAGGTGCTGTTCCCAATGATGACCTTAGGGTCTAGACCCTGTGGATGGAGCTCTGTATGAGTTTGGCCAATGTGGTTTGGGTACAGGTGAGGCGGATGGCCGTTTGCACCTGGCCTTTCGTGATTGACGTCTTTACTGTGGTTGGCTGGGGTGAAGCGACTGGTTTTGACGACAGATGCCATGTGGACAGGGGAGGGTGAGTTAGTCCTTAAGATGATGCGGTCTTCGTCGACGTGTTGTGATGCCTGGACTGGAGCAGGCTTGTGACCGGACAGCAGGGCCACCCTGAGGTCACCTGAATGAGTTGAGCTGTGAATGTTATTGGACGAGCCGTGAGTGCTGCAGGGCGCCTCATCAGTGAGGTCAATATTGGCTGTGAGACGATCAATCTGCTTGACCACCTGGAGGATAATGAAGAGGGTCAAACTGCAGTGACGGAAAGTAAATCAGTACATTCACTCTAGTGCTGCACTTAAGTGGAATTTTGAAGTAATGTACTTGAACTTTACTTGCATTTTTTGCATTAGTATCACTTCATACTCCATGTAGTGGCTTTTCACTACATTCCAGAGGGAAATACTGTGTTTTTTATTACACTGCATTTGTTCAACAGCCATACTAGTTACTTTTCTGATTATTTATATAAAAAACACATGATAAGCTTCTAAAATAGAGTGTTTTGTTAAGATTACATCAGTGGTTCTTTCCTCCTTTGCCTTGTGACTCCCTGCAAAAAAACCTCTGTCTAGTTGATGCGTCTTGTCTCACCAAGTCGAGTTTTTAGCAGTTCCACCACAAGTTGTTTTCCCTTTACGCCTTGCTTGTGGTTGCATTTAATAGAGGAGGTGAAACTCACAAAGAGTAAAGATTGGATAGTATCTTAACAAAGGAATACAGACTTGTGTGGCAGAACTTTTGTTTTTTCTTCTCCCCTGCCCTATTGATCATCCCATGACCCCTCAGATTTATCTTGTGACACTTTGGAGGAGCCCTGACCCCAGTTTGGGAACCTCTGGGCTAAACTATGTAACTGTACATAAAGTATTCAAAACTAGTTCCACCTCAACCCACTACAACAGCAAATGCTACTTACACACTGATACATGATGTCATATATGATAAAATGATGGTCACAGAGGCCAATTTAGCTCATTATACTCCTGTTCTTTTACTTAAGTACAATTTTATTGCAGGACTTTTACTTTTAATTGAGTCTTTTCTTTTTTTTTTTGCTCTTTCTCACCCACTGCCAAATTCTATTTACAACCACAAGCTCTGACTGTGCTAAAGCTGAAGTAATAGTCAGCAATTCAACCAACCTTCCACACCAAAGCTGTTTTTAGATCTCCTTTGTTACCAAGTGAGTTAATAAAACTCTTTTTTGAATTTGTAATGTTGCCTCAGTACAATGCTTGGCCTTCCGCAGATAAATTCATCAGTGAATCTGTGCTATTTTACAGCTGCATGCAAAATGGATACTGTAAGAGCTAGGCATAATTTAGTAACAGTCTGAAGCCAGGCTTTTTAATGTGCTGGCCGGAGCGCTGCCAATTTCGGCAGCGTTCTGCAAAAGGTCAGTGTAAATCGTTCTCAATCACAGCTTCGGTAAGAGATGATGAGTGAGTCACAAACAATGCAGTCACCGTGCGCACACACACATCCTGATATGCTCTCGTGAACATGCACACACACACACACAGATACACGACCTGTGTCAAACTGATCTGCACTGTGACTCATTTTGTCAGCATCTGAGCTTCGTGTTAATCCTTTTAAATGTCACAATATCCAGGGGAGCATCAATTAAAGATTGGGACATCTGCACCTGCACAGACCTTCATGTTTAGACACCTGATATACATGTAACATCTATAAGAAAGAATAAACATCTATAATAATAGTCTCCTACCTCTTTCATCTCCACGTGAACTTGCTTCAAACCCCCCAACACATCCTCCAGATCTGTCACCACTTGTCGGATTTGATCCCTCACCAAATCCTGCCTCCTCTTCTGCTTCACTACCTCTGAACCCTGGTGCTGATGGTTGTTGTTGGTCGTCGGTTTTGAGGTTTCTGGACCGGTGATGCCAGTGGAAGGGATGCAGGGCCCCTTCCGTCTGCTCTGGTTCAAGTGTTTTTGTGGAACTTCAGTGGGAAAGAAACCTTTGTGAGAGCCGCTGTGTCGATTATAACCTTCCTCTGATCCACCCTTGTGTCTGCTCCGGTCCTGATGGTTATCTCTCTCCTCCCCTCCTTCAAAGAGCACTGGCCTCGTTCCACAGTTGCCATTTGGCGTGGGCAAATGACCCAAATGGGGACCATGTGGCTCCACGTGATAGTTCTCAGAGGTGTATTCGCAGCCTTCCTCCTCCTCATCCACAGAGACATACCTGACAGTCCTCCTGTACCTGTACCCTTGACCTTTGACCTGAAGATGAGGGAGAGGATGTAGAGTCCCAGCCTTAAAGGGGTGTGCCCTGGTGTCACTGTGCACCACACAGCCACACTGTTCTCTGACAGACGGGTAGTGTCTCACCCCAGACTCCAGTGGGTAGCTCCACTGGGCAGGGTTCAACTCCCAGGGGCAAACTTGGCTCAAGTCATCTGAATGGCTGTAAGGGCCGGGCCCTGCAAACACAGGCCTCCTCTGTGGGCTGCGATGACCGCTTCTCTCAACCCTGTCCACGAGGAAATCTCTGCCTCCTACGTCTTTAACCCGAGGAGCCTGGATGTCTCTCGTGCAGTCCAGAGATAGGTGGTCTGTCTGCCTGCCTGATGATGGTTGGTATCCCGGCCCACCGTGATGGCCATACGGCTGCTCATAGTGGAGGCAGTGCTGGCAGGGGCAGGGGGTGGGGGAGTTTTTGTTCTGAAGAAATCGGCGGTGTCCCGTTGTTTGTGCGCCTTCTGTGTACATGTCCAAAGAAGTCCAGAGGCTTGTGTGGAAAACGCCTTAGAAAACAACTGGTTTCCTCCCCTCCCTGCTCTCTCCAGCCCAGTCATTCACTCGCTCTGTTTTCCTCATCTGCGTCTTCCCACAAGAAAACTTTTCTTCAGCTTTTTTCTTCCTCTCTACCCAAGACTTCTCCCTCCCCTTCCTTCCTGTCTGTTGTTTCCCTTCTTCTTCTCTCCTGTAGTTGTTAATCTCTGCACCCGTTCCTTTCCCTTCCCTGGACACCCTCTCTTCTACTTCTCCCAACTTTTTCTTTACTCCTGCTTCTTCCTCACCCTGTAGCCCTCTCTCCTACACGGGGCCCCTCTCCCTCCCTCTCTGTCTCTCTTTCTACCTCTCCCGCCTCGTTGTTCTATCTCATTTGCTGCTGCAGGCTTCCAGTCGCTCTCTCTCCCTCTCTCTCTCTCTCTCTCTCTCTCTCTGGCTGTGTATTTCCCGTTTCCTCCCCTCCCCTCTCCCGCTCTCTCCTCTCTTTCTCCACCTCTTACTCCCTGTCTTGCCTCTGGTATATTCTCTCACATAGTCGGCAGTACCTGAATGTGTGAATTCCTTCTTTTTCCTCCACCTGAAATCCAGCCGCCTTGTGAGGCTCCTCCGGTAAAGGACTCCATTAATGTTTTCTGTCTCTCTGGGAGTGTGTGAAAGAGTCCCAGCCCCGGTGCTGCGCTCATTAGCCCAACTAAAGCCTTTGCACTCTGCAATTAAACGCTGCCTGGGATTCCTCGGCCAGAGACTGAGAGAGGAGGGGAGGGGAGGAGAGAAGCACTGGGGGAGGTGGGGTTTCTAACATACACAGACGCGGAGTAGACAGCACTCTGAGTCAAGGAGACAGAGCCACTGCCTTTGTACAAGGGGAACATTTTCATTATTCTGTATCTCCTTTTTTCTACCCCTCTCCCCACCAATTCCTTTCCCTCTTTGTCCTTTGTCACTCCTGTCACTCCCACTCTATGACTGTCTCGGTTAAAGTGACTTCACCTCAACAGTTGAGCAAAACTTCACTCTGCTGTGGGAAGCACAGATAGTATAGTAGCTCTGTATAGGAAAGTATGTCTACCACTCAAGTCTATACAATATCTCAATGCCACTCAACCGAGGTGATGCCACTCAACCAGAGCGCTATGTGTTCAGGCCATGTTACATTCATCATCCGTTTCATTATAAATCAATCTCTGCTCACTATAGATAACCATAATCTCCAGATGAATGGGACATAAAAACTCCTTCATACACAATTAGAAAAGCAGGATGTGCAACCAAGCAAGATCTCTCTCTCTCTCTCTCTCCAAAATAGCATAAGGCGCCTGTGTTGTGGCTCTTTGTCCACAGCGACTGAGGAAAGCTAGGCATTTATTTTCAAAGAAAATAACTGGAGCTTTGAAAACAATGTGCTGTAAAAAAGAACTGAGAAAAACAGCAGAGGAAGATGAAGGGGATTCATCCATCCCAGCAGGAGGATGAGCAGTCCAGTCGCAGCTGCTGGGAAAGATTGTTGTGGTAGATGAAACACAGCTGGAGTGACTGTACCTTAACATATGTATACAGTATATATCCTCATAGGAGGGTAAGAATATGCACATCTGTATGCATACTCACATTTACACTAAATATAACAAAGGTTGATATAAGCTTGATATATATATATATATAAAACTCTTAATTGGTTAAATCGGCAATAACTTATATTTTTGATCTTAACTTTTAAACCTTTAAAGTTGATGCACCTAACGTGCAAACAAACCGTGCGTTACTTACTATACACACAGAGCACTTACAGAGCAACATCATCATTCATTTGGTTGTTAACTGTGTTTCACGCTACAGTGCATTGTATAGAGCATAGAGTTAAAAGAATAAGCTAAAGACACTAAAACACTCACTCACATAACTAAAGGGAACTGCAGAGTTGGGGGGTAATTCCTTGTGGGCTCATCTTTATGAACAACTCGAATTCAAATAGTCATTTGATCCACTGTTATATAAAGATATCGATAATAGCTGCTTTAAATATAAAGACAGGAATGTCTGTTTTCCATTATCAGCGAATTAATATCTTGAGAAATCAGTGTCATTGCATTGATGCACAAATTGTTCCAATTCCAATAATGTCATTCATTATTAATAAGAGTCTAATTTTTGGGGGCAAAATTGCCCACAATATCAGCATGAATAATTTAAAAGGCAGATACCAGTCAAGATCTATATCACCCAACCCCAATGTACACTAGTTGTACTGCATAAGTACCGTCTCAGTACATTTAGACTGCCATACATAGATTTAGTCTCAATAAACATAGAATCATGAAACGGCCCACTGTAAACTTGCAGAGTTGGAAACACCCCCAGTGAACAACTCTGTCCTTTTAACCTCTTTTGGAATTGCATCATCGTTCACTTTGGAAAACTAGCACTTTTTTTAAGTGCCCTTGACTCGAACAAAATATTAGCTAAGCAATATTTCCACCTGAATAGGACATTTTGGGATGTTTTCTACCCCTGTTTGTAAGCACTACACTCCAACTCTATGTAGCTCATACATATGCATGTATACAATCCAGACACAGACAGAAAGTCGATAAGATGAGACACAATAACACCTCAACCTGTCATCTTAAACTCAGTATTTCTAAGTAGGACTTCCTCAGGCAGATCCTCGTCTACAAGCTACAACAGGAATATCAAAGGTTGTAGTTGTCATACTGTCTGCACCCATACATATAGACGGGTGTAGCATATGCGTGTGTGCTGCTTCAGAAAGTTCCCAGCTTGTGCAGTTCTTACATCACACTGCTTTGTGTCGGCCTGCCCACCTCCCGCTTCGCTGCACGACTGCAGGGCAATTACAAAGTAGAGAATGGGAGCCACACTTCTCTTCTCGCCACTCTGACTCTCCTGTCCTCACCGGGGTCAAGATGACCTAATTAGCACATATGGATATTTCTAAATGAGTCTATAACTAGAGCTCAATATGTTGCTGGGGATGGATCATATGGTTTGTGCCCTATTTACCCTCTCATGCAGATTCCAGTGTACCACATCACGCAATATGCAAATTGTAACCAATGCCTTCATGGTTAAGAAATACTGTAGGTCACACCATTAATGCTTTGTCTGTCATATCACCAGGCTGTATAGGAAGTTTTAGTCAGTTACACTGTCCCTCAGTGGGTCGGCAATCTTCAGACCATGTTAAAATACTGTAATTAACCCACCAACTGAACTTTCTACCTCTAATGGAGACATAGCTTCTGCTGTTGTGGCCAACTTAAATCATCATTTGTATAGCTTATCCTTTTTATCTATTTTATCAATTTAGCCTGTTTTATTGTTCTTTCTAATGCAGCCTTGCTATAGTCCCCTCTGCGAAGGCACGTCTGTCTTTGAAAAGTGGTATGAAGATAAAGTACAGGGTGTCCCCATGGGCTAGTGGACAGACATGTGCCATGCATTTGCAATGTACCAGCTGGTGACATTAGTTGCATGTGAGCCCCATTGTCTCCACTGTGAACTGTCAAATGAAGGCTAATACCAAAAAATAAACACTGTATATCAGGGGTATTCAATTAAAATTCAAAAAGGTCCAGTTAGTTGGTTTGATATTATAAAATATGATAATACCTTCTCTATATAATAATACAATAGTCAATTTAAGGATAATAACGGCTGGAATAAGTAATAACTATATAACAGAGGGCTTTTGCAAAAGTATAATAAAGTGTTTAATTACACAAAATTAAATAAAAAGTGTAAGTTGACTTTCCATTTTTCTTCTTTATGGTTAACACATCTTAACAACTGAACCGCTTTAACGCCTTCCTTTCTTTTTCTTATCTTCTTCTATCCCACTATTTCTCCGACGTTGTCTCTCACCATGTGTGTTTTTGATACTGATGATTCTGTGCTATGGACACATTTTAATTGGTACCAAAAAGAGTCCTCAAGTTCAATACCAGGCACTATTTCTCGCTATTCGAAAAAAGCTAGTAGAGTGACTCTAAAATACAAACATCTTCAGAACTAGACCAGTTTTTTAAATTCTGTCATCTCTGTTCTGTTTAATGGAGTTAGAGGCACAAACTGGAGTTGTGAGGTTTTGACAGTGACACATGCTTGTTATTTGCAGTGCATAATCAAGTAAAAAAAAAAGGAGCAGCCTTAGCAGCCACCTCTCCCCTGATTCAGCAGTATGCCCTATGGAGGCACTTCACTGAACTTTTTTGACTGTTTCGGAGTCTTGGGAAAATTGAAAACTTGAATCATTCATGCTGCTGCTCACATCAATGCTTTAATGTACACTGAATGTATAAAATATGAGGAGCATCTCTATGACACTGCACTTCTCTGCCTCTTTTTATCTATACTTTCTCCTTAACAACTGCTACAACTTTAATAAAGAAAATCTATGGCTGTTAATGGCTCTTACCTGTTTTAATGTTGTTTGTCCAGTATAGAAATAGAGTAAGTGTCCCTTCAGTGCACTCTGAGTGGTTTAATGAGGATGAACAGTTCCTGCATCTGTGGATGGGGTCAATCTAATTTCACCCCCAAACAATCTCCTATTGTGAGTAAATTATTGCATTGAATTTCCTGAGGAACCCTCATCCCCATGAAATAGCAAGCCTAATTCCCATCTAGTCTTGAAACGACATTATATGTTGTTTTTTTTATGTTAAGAAATTACCAAAAGTGAGAAAGTAATACCTGACTAATGGTATAATTAACAAATCAAAAGCCAGCACAATTCACACTTAGTCATGCAGATTCCCAGCCAAGAATGATCTGAGACGACATTTTCTATCCCTTACCTAGGTGTCTGTGACTGAAAGGAATGTTCGGAGAAGAGAAGATTTTGATAAACTTTTACAGGAAGTGTTAGTCGAGATATCTTTAACTCAATGCTGGACAAGATGTACATCATCAGGGTAGGACGCATAGGTCTGTGAAGACTAATGAAATGACTGTTTGAGGGATTTTTGTTGCTATAATCCAAAGACAAACCCTGAGGGAGTTTTTGCATAATTATTTGTTTTTCCACTTGTTTTAGAGATGCCATTTAAAAGAGACACAGGGATTCAGGGATTTAAAACCCTAAATAGTAATGTGCTATCAAACAATAGTTTCTTTTTTTGTTTTATGGTTTTTGTTTTGTTTTGGGTTTTTTTGTTTTTTTGTATTGTGTTTTTGTATTGTTGTTTTTGGTGTATTCATTGTTTATTAGTTTCAAATCCCAATGCAAATACTCCACTCTCTCAGGAACAG